GGGGCAAATGTATTAGGTTGAAAATACAGGAGCAAATGTTGTATGAGGTTGAAATTGAAGGGGCAAATGTTGTTTTAGGTTGAAAATACAGGGGCAAATGTTGTATTAGGTTGAAAATACAGGGGCAAATGTTGTATTAGGTTGAAAATACAGGAGCAAATGTTGTATGAGGTTGAAATTGAAGGGGCAAATGTTGTATAAGTTGAAAATAAAAGGGGCAAATGTTGTATTTGGTTGAAAATACAGTGGCAAATATATCAGGTTAAAAATACAGGGGCAAATGTTGTATCAGGTTGAAAATCAAAGGGGCAAATGTTGTATTAGGTTGAAAATACAGGAGCAAATGTTGTATGAGGTTGAAAATACAGTGGCACATGTTGTATTAGGTTGAAAATACAGGAGCAAATGTTGTATGAGGTTGAAATTGAAGGTGCAAATGTTGTATAAGTTGAAAATAAAAGGGGCAAATGTTGTACTTGGTTGAAAATACAGTGGCAAGTATTTCAGGTTAAAAATACAGGGGCAAATGTTGTATCAGGTTGAAAATCAAAGGGGCAAATGTTGTATTAGGTTGAAAATACAGGAGCAAATGTTGTATGAGGTTGAAAATACAGGGGCAAATGTTGTATTAGATTGAAAATACAGGAGCAAATGTTGTATGAGGTTGAAATTGAAGGGGCAAATGTTGTATAAGTTGAAAATAAAAGGGGCAAATGTTGTACTTGGTTGAAAATACAGTGGCAAATATATCAGGTTAAAAATACAGGGGCAAATGTTGTATCAGGTTGAAAATCAAAGGGGCAAATGTTGTATTAGGTTGAAAATACAGGAGCAAATGTTGTATGAGGTTGAAAATACAGGGGCAAATGTTGTATTAGATTGAAAATACAGGAGCAAATGTTGTATGAGGTTGAAATTGAAGGGGCAAATGTTGTATAAGTTGAAAATAAAAGGGGCAAATGTTGTACTTGGTTGAAAATACAGTGGCAAATATATCAGGTTAAAAATACAGGGGCAAATGTTGTATCAGGTTGAAAATCAAAGGGGCAAATGTTGTATTAGGTTGAAAATACAGGGGCAAATGTTGTATGAGGTTGCAGCTAGCAGCACCATATGGAACTCTGGGAGTCATTGCTGGACCTGTAGAACTTCAGACTTTATGGGAAGCTTATGGTGAGTCACCATCTTTCTGTGGAGAGAGATCCATATGGAATATACCCTAGTGTAAAGAAGTCACTTTTCTTCCCTTTAAACGTTCTTCCCTTTAAACTTGGAAAACACCCATTTTGCTCGATTGCAACAATGCTGATTGCCCACACAATCTTTTCAAATATAGTAGGCAGTCGTCAATCCCTAGGAGACCATGGGGTTGGGCAGTAGAGTCTGCTGTGACTACAGTCCAGTGAAGGAGCGAGTTTCTCTGCCACATAAAAAGTTGCTACTCTATTATATTCTCTTTGTCTTTTGTCATCTCACTGACATCAGGCTGTAGACCATATTTTTTCTGTATTTCTCTTGTGCTTCTTGGGTGGTTTGGGGTGATGGATATGTTTTTTTTTTTTTTGTGCACGTTTTGGCTACACCATTAATCCATGACTTTCTTGGTCTTCCTCTTGCCTTCCTCCCTGATGTAAAAAGTCTCATGTGCAGTTTGGCCTGGCTGCATTATTACTAGAATCATTTCATTCTTTGTCAATATATTCCAGACATTGTCTTATTCCAACTTTCTCTCTAGCGCTGGTATTCATAACCCTGTCTAGAAAACTAAGTGGAACCACATGGGGTGCTAGCAGGAAAATACTTAGGAAAGTTTACCAACAAAGTGTTCGACCACATCTTGAATACAGATCAACAGCATGGAGTTCGGCAGCAAAAACCACATTGCAAGAATTAGACAAAGTGCAAAACTAAGCAGTATGAAATCAACACCTATAGCTGTGATGGAGAAAATGGGGATGACCCAAGCACTGAGTGAACGCAGAGACACCAAGATGCTTTTACAAGCAGAAAGGTTTCTTAGTATGCCCAGTCACTCTATGAATGAAAGATTCTAAAATTTAGCTTTGGGACAACTATAGAGAAGTAGTTTTATCCACCAGGCCAAACGGCTCGGCAGACAAACCACTGATTTACCTGCAACTTAAATACTGTCCCAGAACGGACCCCCTGGAGAGAGGAGTATAAGTTTCCAATACACATCAAGACTGAAGTGAAAGGAGTATTTGACAAGGAAGAACAAAACTGTGTGCAGCGCAAAACAGCCACCCTCAGTCTACTTAATGATGAATACCCGCAGAACCTTTGGGTCCGTGTTTACACAGATGGGTCAGCAGAAAGCGCAGTCAGAAACGGAGGTGCAGGAGTGTACATTGAGTATCCTAATAATACCAGGGATACAGCCAAAATACCAACAAGAAAGCACTATCACAACTATGATGCAGAAGTTCAAGCCATCAAGATAGCGGTAGAGAAACTACTAAATACAGGGTATTTTTCACAACCAGTGGTATTCCTGACAGATGCAAAAGCAGTACTTCAGTCACTCCAGTCTGGAAAATTACCAAGCATACGGACACTATTATCCGAACTAGGCAACCGTTGTAATTTAGTAATGCAGTGGATACCTTCCCACTGTGGAGTCCCCGGAAATGAAAGAGCTGATAAACTAGCTAAGGAAGGTGCAACTGAAGAACAACCTGACATACCACTCTCTTATCAACAGAAGAAGAGAATGATCAAATCAATCAGAATGCCACCGAAACTGGCACAAGACGATTACCATATTATGGACAGACCAGAGCAAGTCATTATCCTTCGCCTTAGAACAGGGCACAATGGACTTCGCTGCCACATGTACAACAAATTTAAGATTGGCCAATCAGCCATGTGTACTTGTGGACTGGCACCTGAAACAACAGATCACATCCTTTAAGACTGTCCCAGATTCAACGCTTTCAGACAAAACCTTTGGCCAAAAGAGACACTTGTGGAAGTCAAACTTTATGGGCCGCTGAATTACAAAAGACAGTGAAATTCATACTAGAGACAGCTTTGCAGATATAGATAATTTATTTCATGCGAACGAAAGAAGAAGAAGAATAACCCTGTCTCTTCTTGTGTTAGTGACCTTGCAGAGACTACATTTCATATGTAGTTATACTGAGGCTAGTTTTCTTCTCCACTCTACAGCCTGCTGCGTTTGGCCTCTTGCAAACTGAAACAGTCCATCTTTCACTGCCTGTCTCCACAGGCATTGACCTTTCATATAGAAAATTCCCCGTGTGGGTTCCGGGGATCTATTATAGGGAAAACAAGAATAGACCCACTGCCTACCCAAAAGCATGTTGTAAGAGTCAACTAATTGGGAGATTCCATTGAAGTCGGAGTGCATCTGTCGGAGAGTCAAGAAACCAACAGTCTGCACGCAAATGAGTCAGATCTATCAAACAGATGCATATGCAACACACTCAGGTTCTGAAACAGGACTGCAATCCAGAAGTGGACGAACAACCAGAACTTTCAGTTGCAGTTTACAGCTGGTAAACGTGAAGAAGAGGAAAGGGATATAAATAAGAGGAAAGAACCAGACACTGCCTCCTGTAGAGATTCTCAAGTCAAATCAAAGTTGAGAAGATCAACTTTCTTGCCCTGTGGTATCCCATATGGCTAGGTATCTGCTGAGAGCATTAACATACAGCTACAGCAACAATACCCAGGGATGTCCATAAAAGTTGCACTCATGAACTGAATGACTCTTCGGTGAAATGATCTCAAGAATTTCATAGCTCAAAGCAAGTTTCTTGACCTAAATGGCTCTAAAACTCCATTTTGAAAGTGGAAAACCCACATTAGTTTCACTAAATTTTCACGATAAAAAATAATTTGACTTGACAAACAAACAAAAACAAAAGCAAAAGTCATCTTCTAGTAGTGTTTTACTCATAATAAAGAACACCACTACTTCACAACACCAGCAGAAGATCTGATAACCACATTATAAAAGACAATAAAATGACCACGCTGAAGCTTATCAAATTTAATGTTTTAGATTTTTCAAAATGTCTGCCAGCTCTAATATTAACTCGTTCTATCTCAGATATTACTTCAGCTTCTTTTGTCCCAAAATTGTATATTTTTAACCAGACCATTAGTTTTTGTTGGCAATAAATCGTTGTGACCGAAAGAGTTAAGGAATACTAGAATGGGACTGGTCTCAGCAGTGAGCAGAGGGCCTTGACAGTTTTCTGTGGGCAGGAAAAGACGGGTGAATTCAATCATCAGGTTGTGACTAGCATCACCAGTGTGGGAATTCTGTTGGCAACTTGGAAATGGGAGAAGGAATGAGGGCATGAGTAGGAATGAATCGACTGATTCATTCATTGCCTCAAGGGGTGGGGAACAGACACACTGCACCCCTATCGAGCACATCGTAAAAGGTGACATTAGGAATTTTTCCTTCAACAGTCAAATCGCATCTGCTTGAGTGCTGATGAACCAACAGAATGTATACACACACAAAAAAGTAAAGTAAAGGACCCTTTTCCACGCCTTTAGGCGTACAGGGCATATAGGGCTAGACCTATATTTGTATAGACCAATCAGCACAAAATGAATGATGTGGCCAGCATCACGCCGGCCGCCTTTACCTCCTGGGACTGCACCTGGTACCCACTCAAGGCTGGGTTGACCTAGGAGCCAAGGACATTTTTGAAAAAAGCCCATGTCTGCCAGGGAGCGAACCCAAGACCTTCCGATCCGCGGCGAGCGTCTAGCCGCTCCGCCATGGGAAATACAAATAAGCAGATCTGTAAAACGGATTTGCATGAAAAATGCATGTTTTGGGACAAGACTAAATTCTAGAAGTGGGTAAACAAACAAAACTTTCTGCCGGAGTTAACAGCTGGTGAACGCTAAGATAAAGAAGAAGAAGATTCGTTTATTCATTCACTGCCAGAGACTGAAAGAGTTGGCAGACTTCCCCCCATGGTTAGCCAACACAATCATACATCAACATTATAAAACTGTTTGTAGGCCTGAAGGTTGATCTGCTTCAGCAGCGTCCCCATCTGCTTGCCGGGCCCCACCTCGTAGGTGTTGGGGAACTCCTCTCCTTGCTTGCGGGTGTAGATGACGTGCATGATCTGCTCCCATTTGACCGGTTTCACCAGCTGCTGCGACAGCATGTGGCTGTAGTTGCTTTTGACATGGTACGGCTGACTGGTCACGTTGCTGTAGACTGGAATCTGAAGGATTCATAGGCATGGAAATAAAACTAGGTAAATAAAGGTCGTAGATTGGGTACATGAAGATAATACCAATAGGTAAACAAAGATCATACTAATAGGTAAATAAAGGTTATGTTTATATATGGGTAAGTAAAGGGAATATTTTCACACTTCCCATCGCCATGAGCTGTGAGGCATGCCTCCTCATAGCGCAATATAACACAATCGTCTGGAAAGACAGAAAGGTGCCAATCATCAATCAAAGGGTATCTTTATATATGGGTAAACTTGTTATAGATATGTAGACACAAAAGGGCTTTATCAACAGGTAAATAAAGGTTATATGAATGGTTAAATACAGATTATATGAGTGGGTAATTAAAGATTATATAAATGGGTGAAAAAATGTTTTATCGATGGATAATTAAAGATTATACGAGTAGGTCAACAAAAGGTTATTTGAATGGGTAAATATCAGTTACATGGTTAAAAAGGTTAGTTGCATATCCTTTACAGGACGTTGCAGAAGCAGCCCCTGGCTGTTGTGTGGTTTCTCTAGGATAATTTACATCCGGTAGTTTGCCATTGCTTTCTGGACGGTCGGCCCCCTGATACCACTGTCAAAACCAACGCAAGGCGCAAGGCCCGCAGCTGGGATCGAACCCGGTACCCCATTATCAATAAGCATGTCTTTTACAGAACTTCGCTCTGCTCACGGCAGGCCTGAAAGTATCCCTTTCCCTAGCCAGCTCTCTTGCCCCATGGGCTTTCAATGCCAATGCGTCTTCAATGTCTTGTATCCATCTTCATGAGGTCGGCCCCTGCGTCGCTTGTTACAAACTGCACCCTTCATCCCGGTCTTTTCCAAGCCCCAATCACGTTTGATGTGGCCAAAATACTGCAACTTTCAGGACAGGATGCTGTTTATGAGTCAGTTCTCCTCGATGTTTAACTTGTGTAAAATATCAATATTTTTCCTTTTCTTGATCCACGGTATTCAATTAGAGATTACTTGAATGAGCAAATAAAGGCAAAAGTATTTCTTCTATTATTAGTGTTTACTTGCTGAAAACTCCGGGGTAAGGTTCTGGTTGTTCATCCACTTCTGGACTTTGGTCTTGTTCCAGAACTTGAGTTTGCGTGCATGAATGTTTTACAGACGTGGCCTATTTTTTGTGCAGATTTCTGGCTCCTCACCTCTCAGGCAGATGCACTACGACTTCAAAGGAAATATTCCTAATTATTTTATAAGTTTTTTTTAAAACAAAAGAGGTAAATGACCGTTTCCGCCACAACACAAGAAAGAAGAAGGAGAATTTGAAAAAAAAAAAAAATTTTTATGAAAGGAAAACAAAAATGTAAACTATACTATACCTTTGGGCTTCCAAGTTTCATATTGTCTAGGGCTCTCTGCAGCGGTTTCACAGCAGACTCCATCAGACTTGTATGAAATGCCCCGCTGACCAGGAGACGCTTTGTTCGCAAAATATTGAATTCTTTAGCATTTGTTGCAATAAACTCCAAAGCCTAGGAGCAGAAAAATAAATAGCAATAGGTTTAACACAAGTAGTTGAAATCAATCGATATGTGATGTCTGAGAAAGGTGGCAGGAGTAACCAGAAGAGATATCATTAGGAATAAAGTCCAGAGAGAAAAAGTCATAAAATGAATTCTAAATTACATACTAAGGTGGCAAAAAGAATGGCTTGCCCACTTGAAGAGAATATCTTTGCTATGCCACACCATGCAAGGCAAACACCAAAAGAGGATAAGGACGTAGACAAGAGGTAGACCAGATTAGGATGGAATGATAACATCAGAGAAACTCTACAACAGCATCCTGAACAGCCATAACAGATCTTTATATCTCCCTTTACAAACGAAGCAGTCTTCTTCTTAGACTTCACTGGCTGTAAACTTTGGCAGAAAGTTTTGGTGGTTTGCCACTTCTCAACTTGTTCCATAACTTGAGTTTGGCATGCACATCCATTTTACAGATCGGGTAGACTGTTGGTTCCTCACATTGTAGACAGACGCACTCAAGGCTGCAAAGGAAACACCCCTCTTTCACATGCCTTTTAAGGGGACAGTTCCTCTATTAAGTCGATTTTCCTGGGGACAGTTCCTCTATTTTGTAGACGTTTACATGCCATTAAGGGGACAGTTCCTCTATTTAGTCGACTTTCACATACCTTTTAAGGGAACATTTCCTCTATTCAGTCGACTTCCACATGCCTTTTAAGGGGACAGTTCCTCTATTTATTCGACTTTCACATGCCTTTTAAGGGGACAGTTCCTCTATTAGTCGACTTTCACATGCCATTTAAGGGGACAGTTCCTCTATTTATTCGACTTTCATATACCTTTTGAGGGGACAGTTCCTCTATTTAGTCGACTTTCACATGCCTTTTAAGAGGACAGTTCCTCTATTTACTTAAATATGCTTTAAAAGGACAGTTCCTCTATTTAGTCGACTTTCACATACCTTTTAAGGGAACATTTCCTCTATTCAGTCGACTTCCACATGCCTTTTAAGGGGACAGTTCCTCTATTTATTCGACTTTCACATGCCTTTTAAGGGGACAGTTCCTCTATTAGTCGACTTTCACATGCCATTTAAGGGGACAGTTCCTCTATTTATTCGACTTTCATATACCTTTTGAGGGGACAGTTCCTCTATTTAGTCGACTTTCACATGCCTTTTAAGAGGACAGTTCCTCTATTTACTTAAATATGCTTTAAAAGGACAGTTCCTCTATTTAGTCGACTTTAACACGCCTTTTTAGGTGACATTTACTCTTTTTAGTCGACTTTCACGTGCCTTGTCTTCTTCTTCTTCTTCTTCGCATTCACCAGCTGTAGACTCTGGCGGAAATTTCTGGTTGCTCGTCCACTACTGAACTGCAGTCCTGCTCCAGAACCTGAGTGTTGCGTGTGCATCAGTTTTACAGATCTCATTCTCTTGAATACAGACTGTTGGTTCCTTGCCTCTCCGGCAGATGCACTCCGACTTCAAAGGAAGCTCCCCAATTAGTCGACTTTTACGACATGCTTCTGGGGAGGCAGTGGGTCTATTCTTGTTTTCCTCACAATGGGGCCCCGGAACCCACACGGGGGACATGCCTTGTAAGGGGACAGTTCCTCTACTCTTTTTACCCATTTTGGAGGGAGAAAGAATAGACTCACTCGCCCCTTTAACAAGCATGTCATAATAGGTGACTAATTAGGGCAGGGCTATTCAACTGGTGGGACAGATGTGGCTTGCCGAGGCCTAGTAGGTGGATCACTGTCAGCTGTATTGTATTAGTCGTCTTCTTAGCATTCTCTGGCTGTTTTCTCCAGCGGAAAGTTCTGGTTGTTTGTCCAAATCTGGACTTTAGTCTTGTTCCATATCAGTTTTAACAAATCTGATTTAATTATATGCAGACTGTTGGCTCCTTGCCTCTCAGACAGATGCACTCCTACTTCGAAGGAAGCTCCCAATTAGTCGACTACATGCTTTTGGGTAGGCAGTGGGTCTATTCTTGCTTTCCGTGTAATAGGGCCCCAGGACCCACAGGTATTCTGACAATCTTTCTATAGTATTTCATGTCAAACACCCCTATTTTCTCACTTAATGATTTCAAGACATTACAGGATTTATACCTGTATGCTGTTGCAGAAATGATTTAATGTACTTAAAATTTTGCCTTCTGAGTCAAATGAGGTGAGAGAGAGAATTCCTTTGATCTTAAAAGAAGGATCAATCTACATCCTTTGGTCAAGTCCTGAGAAAACAAAAAACTGCAGTACACTACGACAAGAGGAAAGTTGGAGGGGAAGAAAGACAGGTGGAGACCAAAGGAGAAGCCCTTCGGCATCAGGGTATGCAAATATTTAAGTAATTATTGACAACATACAAGACATAGGGTCATGAATGGACACGACTAACATCACTACAAAGCATGGACTATAAAAAGAGCCTACCATGTCAGTTGTGATTGGCGATTAAGGAAGTTTTGTGTGAAAGTGACTACATCGTCCTGCTGACAACTTTAGCTGCAAAATCCAACTATGCATAAACACACCTGCAAAAGGCTGGACATGAGTTGACTAAATACCTATGCTCCATTGGGAAATCTGACTGTAAACTCTGGCAGAAAGTTCTGGGTTGTTTTTTTTTCTTCAGTTCCAGACTTTGGTCTTTTTCAAGAACTTTGTTTTATGCGCACATCCATTTTACAGACCTGGTGTATTTGTGTGCAGACTGTTGGTTTCTTGTGTCCCACTCAGGTGCATTTTGACTTCAAAGGAAACACTCCTCATTGGTCGCCTCCTACGACATGCCTATTAGGTGGTCACTGGGTCCATTCTTTTTTTCTCCCCAGGAATGTGGCTCTGGAACAAACACAAGCACGCACACACACAGATACTCAGAAATACAAGGCAGAAGAAGGAATGTTGAATTAAAATCGATACAGCATTGGGGACACCCACCCCATAAGTGCTCCATCCCCAACTTTTGCAGCAATGGAAGAGTTAAAATTCTGATGGTACCAGCAACTATCTGATTGTATATCCGTCTCGCCTTTCCCCCAGAGTGTCGAGCGTCAGCCACATCCCTTTGTAACTTCTTGCAGTGCCAGTGTCCTCAGACCGTAATGATCTGTCTGTTCCTCAGTAGGCAGAAGAAACAGAAGACAATGATGATGAAGAAGAAAAAAGAATAATGAATTAATTTATTTGTACCTCTTCATGTCCAGCCAATATTTTGCATTCAGGAAATAAATAATTTGCCACAGTACACACTGGAATGTCAATATTTCGTCTTTGGATGCAGTATTCTTTCGCCATTTTAATGGCTCCTGTCAGATCACTATCGTGAGCTAGAAAAACTGACATCATTCCACTTCCAACCTGTTCTGAGGCTTTCTGCATAGCTTCTGCCCTAACTTTTAGCAGTTTAACAGCTGGTAAAAGAAAAATGAAAAACAATATGTTAGTAAACAATCATTTCCTTTTTTCTTCTCGTGTCTTTCCTCTAATCACATACTCAGATAAGAAGCATATTGTGGATTTTGTGACTAGGATATTCCTGTGTAGGTGTCAGTGAGGAGGCTGATAAGATTAGCTGTTGCTGCCGCCCCTCTTGGTGATGAGCTAATTTACACACACAAAATAGAATGTCCTGATGGCTCTCTGGGATCACATTCTTAGATAAGAAGTATTTTGTGGATTTTGTGCCCAAAACATTGGGGTGTAGGTAGTAGTGAGGAGGGTGATAGAATAGCTGCTGCCGCACCTCTTGGCAATAAGCTACTTTACACACAAAAGCGTATGTGGTGATGGCTCTCTCGGATCAAGTAAACTGTGCAGCAGAACAAGACAGAGCATTCACATGTGGAGAGAATGATTCAGCTAGCTACTAGCCAGACGGTCTGGACAATTTTTTAGCCATGTGGGGGAGAAAGGAGGAGGGACAGGCAAACTTTTAATCAGGTTGCAGCTGGCCCTATCAGAAAAGGAACTCTTCTAGGGCTGCTGAGGAAGGGGATGGAGCAGCCATAAGAAGGTCCTAAGTGCAGCAATGTCAATTCTTGATTTACTCATCAAATTATTAAAACAAACACCCAACTGTCTACTTCATAAAGAATTAAATAATATCCTCTCATTAGCTTTTACTAGTTATTCACTGTTAGTTACTCTTTCTGTCCTAGGCAGATTACTATATTGACCTTAGACTCAGACTATGTTAAATTAAAACTTGGCTGTTTGAAAACAAACGCTGACCTTCTCTTACATGGACCAGTAAAACTAAATATTCGCTCAGAAAATATGTTCTCTCTTTTTTTTTCACCTTTCATTTCCCCACAGAACATAGACATTCAACGAAATTGCACGTGAAACCTCTGCAGAAATCATCACTTTTGAATAGGGGTCTCTGAAAATAAATGCTGGCCTTCTCTTACATGGACTAGTAAAACTGAATATTTACTCAGAAAATGTCTTCGCTTTTTCCGCCTTTCATCTCCCAACACAGCAGAGCCACTCAAATAAATTGCACAAAAAACTTCTGCAGAAATTATCCCGACTGAATGAGGGTCTCTGAAAATAAATTCTGGCCTTCTCTTACATATACTAATAAAACTAAATATTCGCTCAGAAAATGTCTTCACTCTTCTTCCGCCTTTCATTTCCCAATAGAGCATAGGCACTCTACTAAATCGCACAAAAACCTCTGCAGAAATTGTTATGAGTGAATGAGGGTAAGAGTAGTTAAGCCATTTCTACCATGCACTGGAGGTTATAAGTTCATTTCTACTGCACTGACTGGTTCATGAGTGGAATTTTTACTCAGATGCCTGTGGATCATTAGTGGAGATAAGGTATTTGTGCTTTGTGCAACACTCTTGGCAGGAAGTTGGTCATTCTGTAAAGCCAGACACAGCCACAAGGGATAAAACCTGGCTGATCTACTTTGCTCAAAAATAAGATCAATACACAGTACAAGTAACCCCTTAGACAGCCAGTCTTCTTTTTTTTGGTAGTTTGCTGTGACCATATATAACAAGTTCAGAAATTATCAGATGATTTTTTTTTGTCCCAGGGTGTGCAGGTGTTGTTGAAAGCACTGACAGACTGGCAGGTTCTGCAACAGTTGCAGATTACCAGCCTATGGATCACCCAGACACTGTCAATGGCCTTAGAGAGCTCGGATTTTTTCGAAGCAACGTGTCCACATCACTGCTAAGAATACGAGAACTGGGAGTAAAGACCAGCACAGCCAAGTATATAACAGTCACACTGGACACACAAGGATTCTTGTCAACCAGGACTGGTACTATTAACTGTGCTACGCTGATGAAGAATATATTGAAGGGGAAATCTGAGCACCTATGGATGTGTCCAGAGTGCTGCAAAGATAATCCAACTCATAACAATTCCTTTTTTTTTTCTGCTTGGTGTAAAATAAGATACTGTACTTACCATCAGCAACCTACTGGACGTAAAATTTGCCCAGAAAAACCAACAGCCAAAAAATGCTGGGTTTGATTCTGCAACGTCCTGTAAAGGATACGCAACTAGCAACTTACCATCAGGAAAAGACATAACTCCCGAAAACACTAGAGCTGCATATTCACCAGCACTAAACCCTGCGGCAGTCACACATTTCTCCACTGCCTGAAAGCAATATACAGAAACCCATGTCTGGAATACGACTTGAAAATATCTATTAAAAAAACGCCCCCAAAAAATAACACCTTAGGTGATAAATAATGTCATTCATTAACAAGAAAGAGATCCTTTGCTGAACATCGCAAAAAGATGCAGGTACTCAACCGCAGAGTGTCTAATAAAAGGTGCTGGTACTCACCACAAAGTGTCCACTAAAGAAGCACTGAAAACAAAAAATGGGTGACGTGGTCAGCATCACGTCGGCCATCTAGACTTTCCAGGACTGCACCTGGTACCTACTTAAGGCTGGGTTGACCTAGGAGAAAAAGTCTGGCCCCTGTCAGGAACCGAACCCACGACCTTCCGATCTGCAGAAGAGGGTCTAGCCATGGCTAGACCACGGCGGCTCCAGAACCCACACACATGGAGTTTACAAATTCAATAGCCCCTTCTTGTATAATGTTTTTCTTAAATTTATGCTCCAGAACCAAAACCCGCACACATGGAGTTTACAAATTCAATAGCCCCTTATGGCATAATGTTTTTCTTAAATTTGTGCTCCAGAATCAAAACCCGCACACATGGAGTTTACAAATTCAATAGCTCCTTCTTGTATAATTTTTTTCTTAAATTTGTGCTCCAGAACCAAAACCCGCACACATGGAGTTTACAAATTCAATAGCCTCTTCTTGTATAATGTTTTTCTAAAATTTGTGACATCAACGAACTAGTTAAAGAAGAAAGGACCCTTTCCCACACCATCAGGCATATTGGTAATACAGTGCTAGACCTATATTTTACAGACCAGCTGGCATCGGTGGGTGATGTGGGCAACATCACACTGGCTGCCTTTACTTCCGAGGACTTAACCTGGTGCCCATTTTAGGCTGGGTCAACCTGGGAGCTGAAGTCGTTTTTGAAAATAATCCAGCTCGATGTAGATTTTAACCCATGACCTTCAGGCCTGAAGCGAGCATCTAACCACTGTGCAACTAGTTACTTTGTACTCTTCTGTCAGGCCTGTTGTTCATTACATATTATTGGTGTAGAAGTAAAGATCCTTTTTCACGCCTTAGGTGCAGCGGGCATTTGGGAAAAGCACTCATATTTTTACAGACCAATCAGCACTAGAAGGGTGATGTCAGCATTAAGCTTTTCTCAGGCATCTCATGTTTACCGTCATCTTGCTAACCTGCTATACCTGTATATGTATATAATTATAATAATCATCTACATTGAAAAACAAGGCTATCTTCCAAATAACGATCCCAAATTATTGAGGCCAAAAATATACCCTAAAAGGGCCTCAGTCACGTGTCAATTGCGGACTTCCGCCACTGCCGAAAGTATCTCCCACGCCGCTACGTGTGACGTGGATTGGGGCTAAACTAGATGGCTGGGACTCACAAGCAAATAAAATGAAGGAAGCTGTAGGAGATGTGGTAGCTGCTGCTACGTGAGTTGCAGCCATTGGGTTTAGCCCCAATCCACGCCGCGCATAGCGGCGTGGGAGATACACGTGGCGGTAGTCGCCGGAAGTGCACAATTTAAGTCGCCGACAGTTCGCAATTGGCACGTGACTGAGCCCCTGTTAGGGTTTATTTTTGGCCTCGATAATTTGGGACCGTTATTCGGACGATAGCCAAAAACAAACAGTAAAATATACTAGTTTCTTATGCTCACATTTGGATGTTCCTCTCTGCACTTTTCAATAGCTGCCAAAGAGGTTATCACGACTGCTGGCTGACAGTGAACAGTTTTATCTAGCTCTGACTTGGGTCCTCGCAAACACAGGTTCAGTAGATTATATCCAAGAATGGAACTAGCCTCTTCATACATATCACGAACTCCTGGGTAATCCAACAGTTTTTTCCCCATCCCTACAAACTGAGATCCCTGCCCTGGAAAAAGTATCACAGACGTTGTTGACGGAGCAATTTTCTGTTCTTCAGCAACAGCAGCCTGTCGACTCTGCCACTGTTTATACCGTTTGACATCTGAAGGGAAACTATCAGTCTCTGATAATTGATGGGGTTCTGTTGACAGATTTTTCAGCATATCTTCAAGTTGCTCCTTCCCTCCAGTAAAAGACGCTGCTGAAACAGTATCATACGTTGCCTGGTTGGATGCATTAAGTCTGGACAAGAATTCTGTTTCTGATATACCTTGTTTTTGTAATCGTTTCAAAACTCTTCTTGGCAACTTTTCAATTGATGAAGAATCGGTTGTAGTTGTAGCAGACGAACAATTATCAACATTATTAGTATTACTATTAGTGTTAATTCCCTGACCATCAGTTACACTAGTGTGCTTCTGAGAAGATATATTGTTTTCAGAATTATCACCAGAACTTGTCCCCGATGAATAATTCTTCTTACTAGTCCAGTTATGGTCGTAATGGATAAAACATGCTCGCCCAATATGAAAGTTTCTGAAACAAGGCGATGCTTTCAAGGTAGCCATCGAAGTACTGCAAGCAGCATCAATGAAAATATTACGGCCATTAAAATAATAACGGCCACATATTGTACCAGAACTGTTCAGTCTGAGAACTGCTTGTTTCCAAATAAGAACCGTCATCGCAATTACTAGAAAGCCTGGATTTCAACGACAAAACACCACAATGACAAACCCTAACACGACAAGAACGGCCACAGGTCGTTTCCGGGTTGTTCTCTGTGTCTCTTACTACGGATACGGTTTTTACGTATAACTAATTTCAACTTTATTTGTGTGTGTGTTTTGGTAAATATGTATATAAAAATACTACTTATCATAATTTTAAGATAAAATAATGGTATCATAGATCATTTTAAATATCCCCAAAGATAGATTACACTTATGATTGTCATAACTGTTTAAAAAGTACACTAAAAGTATCAGTACTGTTCAACCCATCCGGGTTATAATAGGGATATAAAGAGTATTTGTTTTTTCTGTTTTAACAATGTATATTTATTTATACAAATTATGTATTAATTGTATAAGTGTAGATTATCTTATTCAATATATTTTGAATATACTTTCAAACAATTATAGTAATTATACGGCGAAGTTTATCTTTACGAGTATTTAAAGTGATCTGGGATACCATTGTTCAGTCTTAAGACATTAACATCTCACATGCGAATTCCTGTTCTTGTTATGTACTGTTTAATCCTTCCCTGTAGTCAGTGTCGAATTAACTTATAAGCACACTAAGAACGTACTTGGGGCATCACGATAGGAGGGGACCCCTTTAAAATGTCCGTGGCGCCCCCAGAGCTGTTTAAACAGCATTGTGATTGAGTCCACTATGACATCCACTCACAGGAATGGCATTTTTATGTATGGCAAGTCACTTGGCACACACAGGTTAGGATGAAGCCCCTATGCTCGCGAAGCCACTTAGGCAAGTGCCCAGTGGGTCCATGCGTTAAGTTGGCACTGGTACGCCTACCTTGCGTATTGCTTTCATTTCGTGATCTTTTTTTTTTTTAAACCAGAGGCACGTAAGCATAGCTCATTCGTGAGCTCAAGGGCCTCGATGCCACGTACACCTTTAAAACTGGGAAGTATGCGGCTTTTCTGCCCCCCCCCCCCCCCCCCCCCCGCTGTAACCTGACTGGGGCGCCGGGCTCGTGGTCTATAAAAGGAGTAATTAACTAGTTATGAATCATTCACACCACCATGACATACCTAACCAGCTCTTATTACAGGAAGACTATAAGACCGCTATGATCACACGCGCAATTTTTCACAATTTCGGATCTATCCAAACCCAAAAACTCTTTTCAGTACTTTTTGGCAAAGTAAAATATTCCGAATTTTACAGCTATAAATGGTGGTCCTTCTTCTTCTTTTTCTTCTTCTTCTGCGTTCGACATCAGTCATGCTAAACATTGAGTCCCGTCTGGGTCACAAAAAGGATTGTGCGTTTAAGGTCGCCACCTGTCTCCCATAGCTTCTATCGCAGTGTGGACCTCCTGGGCCAGATCCACAGTCTTTGCTGGGAGAGGTTAGGGCAGTGCTGCAGTATGTGCTCAGGGGTCTGTCTTTCTGCTCCACAATTACAGGCAGCAGATTCTTTTATGCTCGAAGTCCACAGTGTCCTGTCCGAAGTTTCAAAATGTATGTTTGTTCTTTCCTGTTGAGTTTGTTTATGCTGTCACTCTCTGGTCTGTAATCTCCCTTCTGCCTTCTCCACTCCCGCTTGAAAGACTGCTTTAGCGCTGTTTTGGTTTCCTTGTAGCTGTGTGGTGGATGAGGTTGTGGGAGATTACTCCCAGCTTTTGCCAACTCATCTACTCTCTCATTTCCTTGAATACCACAGTGGGCAGGTATCCACTGCAAGACCAGTTCTACTTCCTTGGAGAGTAAGCCAACGTTGGTCCTTAGATCTGCAATTAGGTTGTCTTGTTTTTTGCTTGATAGTGCTTGGAGAGCAGACTATGAGTCACTAAGTATAAGAATTCTGTGCCCTCTGTGTTCTTGAGTGATGAGATGTTGGACTGCAGAAAGGAGGGCAGTTGCCTCAGCTCTGAAGTTAGTGCAGATGTCACCTGCTGGTAGAGAGAGAGAGTTTCTGCTCTCCTGCTAGGGGGTTTAATGTATATTCCACAGCCCCCCCCCCCCCTTTCTGACTGCATCTATAGCAGAGCCGTCGGTGAAAACCTGGGTCCAAGTTGTTTTGGGATACTTCTCATCAAGCATAGCAAGAACCAGGGTTCTCTGTTGTGTCTCCGTCTGGGCATCTTTTGAAGTGATCCCTGGTACCTTTAGGATTACATTTGCCTTCTCTGGCTTGCTTGTCCATGGTTCTGGCCTAAGTTTTTCGCACAGTGCAACATCTCTTTCAAGCAGATCTTGGTGCTGTCTGTACAGTTCTCTGGCAAGCGGGTTGGGGCTCTGACGCTTCAGTCTGTTTTTGTTCTCTCTTGAAAATTAAAATGCAGTGGGTGACTCTGAAGTCTTTTTAATTTCTCATACTGTAAAAGAGTTTTGTATTGTCTTCTGAGTTCGAGTGGTTCAGTATCTGCTATCCTCTCTATCTCTCTGATGGGGGTGGTTTTTATGGCTTCGAGAAAAATCCTTAATCCCATATTCTAAACCTTGTCCAGTTTTCCCATTGTTGTCTTGGCTGCTGCAGCCCGTGCAGTGGAGGCATATTCCATGACTGGCCTGACTGCTCCAGTATATACCTGTTTCAGGATTCTGGACTTAGCGCCCCATGTGGTACCCGCTATTTTTTTTCTTAACTGCAAGCTTCTTGAATGCTTTCCCATGTACTGCTTCTACATGTGACCTCCAAGTTAGTCGCGAATCAAGTGAAACGCCAAGAAAGGTAGGAGTTTCAGTCTGTAGAATGAGCTGGTTTTTTATCCAGATTTCGATTTTTTTTTGGGGGGGGGGGGGGGGGAGAGAGAGAAAGAGAAAGAGAGAGAGAGAGAGAGAGAGAGAGAGAGAGAGAGAGAGAGAGAGAGAGAGAGAGAGAGAGAGAGAAAAGTGATGCTGTGCTTTTTGAATTATTTAGCTTTAGACCCCACTTTTCGGTCCAGGCTTCTACATTTTCCACAGTTTTTTGTAACATATATGAGGCTGTGGTAGTGTATTCGGAGGCTGTCCAAACTGCAAAGTCGTCGGCATGTAGGGTATTAGAAATGGTGAAAATATGGGGGGTGACGGCAGTCAAGCTAATAAAAAAATTTGGAGACTATATTTTTTAGCTATCTTTTGTTTTATTTTATTTCATTTTTTCCACACAACATTTTTTTAAACGTTGCTCACGTCATCCCTTAGAGATCTACTTACTCTCATCCCCTCGTTGTTACGTTTGTGTAGTTCACTTATGTTTGAAAAAGGCCGCCCGGTCGAAACGTTACGTTGTGTTGTTTTGTGCCCGTTTTTCTGCTTCCCCATTTTGTTGAGCTTTTTAGTCAAATTTCTCTGGAATTCAGGGTATTAAAAACGTGCTGGTGGCAGGTTGCTGTGATATCATTTATAATGGTGGTCCAAAAGGAGGTTGTGTTAAGAAGCTCGGTCTCCTACTCGATACATCTGGCCAAATTAGAAGGAGCCTGAACCAAAAGGAAAACATCAGAAATGCAAGGGCAGGAAAAACACACTTGACAACAGGAAAAGGATCGAGCGGTCTGACTTGGAGGGGGAAAGGAAAGGACTAAGCCTAGAGACGGTATAAATTCCAGAGCTTTAGCAACGAAAGGTGCGCAAATAAACCAGATCCAAAATATAACCATAGACTATTGGCAATTTCGACCCAGTGACTGTCAGACACCACAACGAGCCATTTGGCATGTCTCACTGACATTTCAGCAGTAGCAAACCAGTGAGCTGTTGTTCGCATAAAATTTTTTGTTGGGCCAATGGTGGAAAACACAAGAGAGATTGGTTATTGTATCCACCACCAACAGGATCAGTTTATTGTTTTGTTTGTGAACTGTCTCCTCCTAATTATTAATAAAATCTTGTTACCAGAGAAGGGTTAAGTGACTGGCGAAATACTATTACAATTTATGATCATAGATAAATCATTACTTACCGAAACTCTATGCTAACAATAATAAAAAGAACGCCACAGGGGACCATGTACAGCACTGGTCCACCGATCATCAGTAGAAAGATCCCTCGTCGACGATTATTTTGGCACATTACTTCCTATACAATCTCGGAAGGTGGGCCGACCTGGACAAGGACAAGACGATATGGTGATTTCTTCTTCTTCTTCTTCGCGTTCACAAGCTGTACACTCTGGCGGAAAGTTCTGGCTGCTCGTCCACTACTGAACTGCAGTCCTGCTCCAGAACCTGAGTGTTGCGTGTGCATCAGTTTTATAGATCTCATTCTCTTGAATACAGACTGTTGGTTTCTTGCCTCTCCGGCAGATGCACTCCGACTTCAAAGGAAGCTCCCCAATTAGTCGACTCTTACGACATGCTTTTGGGGAGGCAGTGGGTCTATTCTTGTTTTCCCCACAATGGGGCCCCGGAACCCACACGGGGGGATATGGTGATTTGTAACAGGTGTTGTGAGATTTATTGGTACATACTTAACACGTAGACAAGGCGTGGCGCTGGGGCAGCAGTTGGAGAAACACATACAGTAAGAATGTGGCTACTAGGAGCATGTCTTGAGGTGTGTCATAGCTATTATTCGTATGTTAGCTAAACGTCTTGGCTTTTCGAGGAAAAGAAGACAGATTTTGATCATTGCACAATGAGAATTTCTTAGGACTGCTTGAGCTCATACACTAGTGTGATCGATTTTTAGCAGGCCAGATTTGGAAATTCTGGCAAACAAACCCTTCTTACCTGTCTAAAGCCACCTGCAAGGAACTCATTCAATTAATGACACAAAAGGTCCAAGAGCTTATTGTTAGCGAAGTAAAATCTTCCGGTTATTTTAGTTTTTCAGTTGATTCAACACCAGGTCTCTCATATATCGATCAGTTAAGTGTTGTACTTGGGTATCTAAAAGATGGAAAACCTGTTGAACGCTAACATTTCTAGGATTGAAAAGCCATACATGTGAGGACGCCACAAATCAAGTATCGCAGTACTTTTGTGATCTTTATGGGCTAAAATTTTCAAAAAATGTTAGAAATAAACAAGTTTGCTCTATATGTGCCCTGTGCAACTCATTCACTAATTCTGGTAGGCCGAAGTGTTGTTGACTTTTTCTCTAGAGTGCATTTATTCTATACCCTTTTTCAGCTTCAAGCAGGCAGTCGAATAGGGTGTATTGGAAAGGACAGCGTTCTAAAATCCCTCTCTGATGCCACATGGGAGGCATATGCTATGGCAACAGAAGCCATTTTATAATCTTTCATCAAGCATTAGAATATATAGCCGAAGGTTAGTTGCGTAACCCCTTTACAGGACGTTGCAGAACAGCCCCTGGCTGTTGTGTGGTTTTTCTATGCAAATTTACGTCCAGTAGTTTGCCATTGCTTCTGGACGGTCGGCTTTCTTGATACCACCGACGAAACCAACGCAAGGCGCATGGCCCGCAGCTGGAATCGAACCCGGCATCCCGGCATTACGAAGCGTTCGCATCGACTTAGCCACAGAGCCGACATATAGTCGAAGACGAGTCACAAAAGGGAGACACTAGAAGAGAAAAAAAAAAATACAGACAGGATGAAAAAACTAGAATTCGTTTTTAAGTTGAATTTTTGGCTTGAGATTTTGCAGAATTTTCACAGAGTAAGCCAAGTTCTACAAAATGGCGATAGAAACTTAAAAACCCGTGCAGGTCTGTATGTATCATTGGCTGACCAACTGCGCACTTCACGAGAGGAACTTTGCGCTAAATTGCTAGGGTGTAAGTGATTGTGGGAATATGATGGTAAGTCCTGGTTGTTCCACATAGAAAAAAAAAATGATTCCACCGTCCCAACATGCTTTGCAAATCCGATACAATGTTAACATGTGTGTGTTAGATTTCCTTCATCCATCGGGTGCGCAGTTATAGTCTCAACCTCCATTCTCACGCTGGATATGTTTTTCCATAACATGTACCCTGATCGTGTTCAGTACTGGAGATGGTCATGCAAGTACGAGCTAAAAAAGCACTTGACGGCATGATAGCCATTATGTGTAAACTAAAATTGGGGCGTTCATTTTAGCGGCTAAATACACATATAAATCAAGTCAGATATAATACAAATATAAAATTGCCACGAATACTACATAATTAATCAATTAAAACATTAGACAAACATTAATATATTTTAAAATATAAAAAATTAAAAAATATAATTTTTTTAAGTATGTTGCTACTGAGCAATACTAAAATGTTATTACACCTGTTAAATTCCTGCGCAAACTTTTAAACCAATAGCGCGCGAACTTGTCACATCGCGGGAGACGCCATCGAGAAAATCGGAATTATACGATCGTGTATTTTAACAACAATAACAGAGGTGACTTGAACTAATTTTATCTAAAAAGTAGTAGCTGTTGTACTTTATATGTGTAACAATATATTCACTACTTTAAAGTTGTGTTATTTAATTATTTAGGTTAATAAATGAGGCAGAAGTGCTGAACTCTGCTGACTGAAAAATAAAAATCAGCAACACCACAAAACGCCAAAGCGAATGGGACGTCAGTAGGGAACCGCAGTCTTCTTCTTCTTCGCGTTCACCAGCTGTAAAGTTCTGCTTATTACTCCATTGGACTGCAGTCCTGTCCCAGAACAGGAGTGCTGCGTGTGCATCCGTTTGACACATCTGCAGTGAATCATTTGTATGCAGACCTTGCCTCAGACAGATGCAATCCTCAATCCGACTTCGAAATTCGAAAGAAACTCTCAGTCGACTCTTACGACATACTTTTGGGTGGGCAGTGGATCTTTTCTTGTTTTCCCTATAATAGGGCCCCGGAACCCACACGGAAAAGTGCAACGCATTAAAGCTTAGCATATGTACAGCATCTAGTTGGAGAATAGAATAGAGGTAGAAGCGGTCACTAACTACATACTCGACATCTCTAAATGTTTAAAGGTCATCATTACACTAGAAAGGTACTGCAGGGATCAGATTTCTGCGGCCGTAGACACAGAGGTAATGGTACTGCCATAGTTCAGCATTCACACCCAGAAGACATAATTCATTATCATATCTTCTACTGTTCTACACAGATAGATCCATGAAGCGTGAATCAAAGTTTTATGGGAATGTCCTGAGTGCTGTGATGTCTGTTTTTTACTCATAACATCATTATTGTGTAAAGAATTTGTTCGAGTCACTTTACAGCTACAAGTAACCAACAGTCTGCATACAAATAACCGAGGTCTGTAAAACGGATGTGCACACATAACTCAGGTTATGGAAGAAGACAATTGAAAAGTCTAGAAGTGGGCGAACGGCTGGAACTTTCTGCTGGGGTTTACAGCCGGTGAACGCAAAGAAGAAGACTTCTTGGCTAGAATAGGGCGTATTCTGTCTGTAAGTAGAGATCTTAATTAATTCCAGGGAGTGAATAAGAATAGACTGATGCTAATTCACTATTTTATTCCTTATATTGTTTCTAATCTTCTTTCAGAACGGATAGCTAGCTAAGCAAATGTCATCACCGGCCCCATCGACGCCTAGCAGGAGGAGCAAGAGAGGGAGGGGAGGATCCGAGGCTGGTACTCCTGATAGCAGTGCTAGACAGACACGTAAGTTACTGAAAATAGATAATATTTTGTTATTAGATGACATCTGACAGTTGATATCTGGCTCTGTTTCTTTAGGGGCTTTTAAAATCTTTTCAGTTACTGAAAATATTCAGTCAGACTCATTCTGTGTGCTCATTTGATCCCTAACCCTATCACATCAGGAATAGACTTAAGAACGTGGCAAGTTAGTTAGTGTCTTAGTTGAAATATTATCCTATTTGCACATCAAACCATTAATTCCATAAGTGCTCAGTGCTCAAATCCTACACTGACGACACCAATTCTGTATTGGTTTCTTATTCTTCTTTGGCTTCCTGCATATTACTCTTGTTTGGCCACAACTCTTTTAATGTGTTGTTCTTGCAGTCTTTTCACGGTTGCAGATTTACAGTTATCGCTTGTTTCTCACAAATGTCTTCTCGTAGAGCATTCAGAATATCTGCCTGGTCCATGGCTCGTCCGCCCTCCACAGTAGCTTTACCTGCAAGCTTATTAGTTTGCTCATTTCCTTGCATGCCTATATGCCCTGGCACAAATGTGAAACAGATATGTGACAGCCCCAACCATCTCAGAGACTCCTCCAACCACAGTCTTCAGGCGCAGCCAATCTCTGTCTTCTTGAGATTACTCAAACTTGGTGATAACTGGCAAGATTGACAGAGCAAGAGAAAGACAAAGAGGTAAATACCTGGATGGATTGGGTGAGGCAAGAACACCAACCAGATTCATTGTTTCAGTGATCATGTCAGATGACAAAACATGACAGCCTACACTTGTTGGCCTGGTATATGACGGTGAAGATATTAAATAATTATCAGTGCCAGCTTTTGCTTAAACCGCACACTTTCAGGAAACATATTGATGATTATGTGAGATATGACTCATCATCATCATGTAGCAGGTCCTTTGCAGAACGTCGCTCTCATCACGGTCTGCTTGAGAGAAACGCAGTCTCTCTCCCGCCTCATGTACTTTCATACTCAAGGAGTCACATATATCCTGTGCACATCTTTCTTGGTCGGCCCCTGCTGTTCCTTCCTGATACCATGCCTTCTGCTATTATTTTTTCAAATCCGTCGTGGTGCCCGATATGATCACAATATTTCAGCTTCCGAGACAGGATGCTATTTCAATATTCTGAGAATCTTTCTATTGATATGACAGTCATATGAGATATGACTGCCTATACTTTTTTGATGGTGATCTTCTCTTTTACCTTCCTTGTGAATACCGCCTGCAAACTCCAGCGGGAAGTTTTGGTTGTTCATGCACTTTTGGACTGTTAGTCTTGTTCCAGAACCTGAGTTTTATATGTACATCTGTTTGACAGATCTGGCTCATTTTCATGCAGACTGTTGGTTCCTTGTCTCTTAGGCAGATGCATTTTAAAGTTGAAAGAAACATCCGTAATTAGTCAACTCTAATGACATGCTAATTAAGGGTCAGTGGGTTAGTCCCGCCTCCCCCTCTACAGTGAAGCCCTGTAACCCACACAGGGATAATATGATGAAGTAGTTGATTTTCAGTTAGTGTCACAGGCAATTGTTTATATTTTTTTCTTCTTTTTTTGCGTTCACTGGCTGTAAACTCTGGCAGAAAGTTCTGGTTGTTCGTCCACTTCTGGACTGCAGTCCTGTTCCAGAACCTGAGTGTTGCATGTGTATCCATTTGACAGATCTAATTTGTATGCAGACTGTTGGTTCCTTGCCTCTCAGGCAGATGCACTCTGACTGCGAAGAAAGCTCCCAATCAGTCAACTCTTATGACATGCTTTTGGGTAGGCATGAATGAATTATGTTGTTTTGAATATTTCTTCCAGCGACAAGATCCAGCTCTAGAAGAACACCTGCAAATTCTGCCAATCGTAATGAACTCTCCTCTCCTCCTTCTCGGAGACGCAGAATTGACCCATCATCTCCAGGGACTGAGCTTGGACCTCTTGATTCTTCACCAGCTAGAAGACCAGCAGCTGAAGGGGAAGAATCTTTTGTAACAAGTCCTAGAGGAGGTGTGTTTGTGCTGTTTGGTGTCTTTCTTTCCTCGTGTCTTCTGTTAGCTCATTCTGTAGAAGGGACATGTAACTTCTCTCCTATGAAAATGACAGTTCTAGTCCCAAGCCCAGGTGGGAAATGAGAGTTGAGTGTGTTGCCACCTCACCCGTTAAGTGAATAATTACTGCAGGAAAGGAAAGTCATTCCGGTAAACACGCTGCACTGAATTCTCTCCATGATATTGAAATTACAGCACAGGATAGTACAGACCGGAGGAATAGACTGAACCCTGTGTGACATATGATATATATAACAAAAAATAGAAGACCCTTTTCCACACCTTTAGGCGTATAGGGCATATAAACCTATGTTTTATAGACCAGTCAGCACAAGATGGGTGATGTAGTCAGCATCACCTCCCGGGACTGCACCAAGTACCCACTCAAGGCTGGGTCGACTTGGGAGTCAAGGTCATTTATTTGAAAAAAGTCAGGCTCCGCCAGGGAGCAAACCCAGAACCTTCCGCTCCGCTGCTCCCTCACGGCGACTCCCAACATAATGGCACACAAAACTAATCGGTAACGGTAACTTGGGCAGCAAATAGCTTCAGAAGTCAGATGTCTTCTTCTTCTTTGCGTTCACCAGCTGTACACTCTGGCAGAAAGTTCTGGTTGCTCGTCCACTACTGAACTGCAGTCCTGCTCCAGAACCTGAGTGTTGCGTGTGCATCAGTTTTACAGATCTCATTCTCTTGAATACAGACTGTTGGTTCCTTGCCTCTTCGGCAGATGCAATCCGACTTCAAAGGAAGCTCCCCAATTAGTCGACTCTTACGACATGCTTTTGGGGAGGCAGTGGGTCTATTCTTATTTTCCCCCACAATAGGGTCCCGGAACCCACACGGGGGGAAGTCAGATGTGTTGGCTGAAAGGTGCGAACATCGCAGCTGTGTTGTAAACAGGTACAATGCATTTACATTTATTTTAGGATGAACACAAAAGAAGAAGATGTAATGGCACACCAGGGCAATAAATTAATGAGTAAATGCTCTAGACTCGAGAACTGGTAACAACCAGCAACTGACGGAAAATAGCCTTTTTTTTTTTTTGTTGTTGTCGTCTTTCTTTCCCCATTTTATATCTGTTAACTCATCCAGCGTCAGGCAGATGTAAGGTCTCGTAGAAAGTTGTTACTTAAAAGTAATAAACGCCATTGCTGCATCCAAACCCAGATGTGAAAGGAGGCGGTTTGGGAATAATGGCACAACGGATTAATGAATGAATGCTGGTAACGAGAGAATTTTAAAACAGGTAACAATCTAGTCACAACATGAGAAGGGGAAGATGGTGTTTTTCGGGACAACAGTAAAATTAGATTGGAATAAAGAGCAAGTGCAAGAGAGAAAATCCTGGACAGTTTGGCATGGCATTCTTGAACATTTGTGACATAAATGAGAATATAGACTGAAGGCTGTGGACAAACATGACTACTAATGCAGCACTTCAAAGACTTCAAGAAACATCCTTTAGAAGGGGATGCTGTCATTTACTTAGATGGGTCTGTTCGCCACTTGAGAAGCCCGTGGGCTCAGGTTGGCTAGTTGTGAAGCAGGATTCTGATACTTTTGCCTTGACCATAAGTAGTCCGACTATGGAAGCCAAGGCAATAATCAAAGCAGTAACATTCCTTGTGACTTTCACCTGCACATGCTTTCTCAGTGACTCGGTGAGTATGCTCAGGAAGTTATAGATGGGCTGGGTCTGAAAACAGGGGTTTGTGTCTCTGAGGCGGTCACAGCTGACAGTTATCAGTTTCATTTTCCTATGCAGGCATGCATGGAAATGAGTAAGCTGATAGGCTTTGCAGATAAATGAGCCAGAGACCAAGCTGATGTACTGAATGCTCTGTGAGAAGTAAGATATTGGTGAGAACTAAGTGAATGAATCTGCAATCATGGTCAAGCTGCAAGAAAACAAGTTTAAAAAGGTGTGGCTAGACAAGAGCACATTGCAGAAAACCATAGAATAAGAAGAGACCAATACAGAACTGGTATCGTTAGCTACTACACACTGCGGTCTATAACAGGCAGAAGATCTAAGCATTTTGACTGAATAGTTCAATGGCAATGAGGATAATCGGTCGACTGACTTTAAGGAAAATGAAAGCCTATATTCCGCATCAGATATTTGTGTTATGGGACTGAATTTTATTATATTGTATTAATTTCTTCAGATTTGCCGCATATTTTAATCTTGTGTAAATATTTTCTGCAGTGGTTACAAGTGAGATTGACCTTAGTTCCCCTTTGAACTATGGGACCCCTGGCCCACAGAGTGTCAGTGAAGGTACGCCAGCTACAGCAGCCACTCCAATAAGGCACCGTCCAGACGTCAGAAATGATAGAAGGCTGCGGCAGGTTGCAATAGGTGGAAATGACCCTCCATCTGTACGTGTTTGTTTTCTTACCTTTTTCTTTGCATAAATTTGGTCATTTTCATAGAAATGAATGTTAATTGTTATATAGGAGGGGAAGTCAATAAGTTAGTCACAAATGGTTGTTTAAAAAAAAAAATACTAAAGACGATAACAACTTGAAAACCATTTAGTTTTACACATACCCTTTATTTCCAAACATAATTTCCACCAACATTGATGCACCTGTTCCATCATTTTATCAGTCCTCCCAAACCTGCTGCAAAGAACTGCGGGCTCTGTTTTCTAAACCACATTTTTACTTCACATTCAGCTTCTGCATCATTTACGAAATGTCTCCCGCAGAGGTAGGTTTTCAGTAGACCAAAAAAGTGGAATTCGCAGGGGGCTAAGTCGGGACTTTAAGGTGGATGTTCCAGAAGTTCCCACCCTAGATGGTTAATTTTCTTCTGAGTTAACCGAGCCGTATGTGGTCTGGCATTGTCATGAAGGTGCAGTACTCCTCTAGTCAGCAGGCCTGGACGGTTTCTTCGAATTGCATCATGAAGCATCGATAGAACTTTTTAGTATGAATCAACATTCACATTGTCACCTCTGTTTTTAAAATTGTTTAAAAGCACCCCTTGACAGTTCCAGACCACTGTCAGCATAACCTTCCCTGCTGATGGCGTAACCTTAAATTTTTTTATCATATGGCGAAGAAGGATGTTTCCATTGCATTGAAGCACGCTTAGATTCGGGCTGGTAGTCATGCACCCATGATTCGTCCCCAGTAATAATCCTGTTCAGCATGTCATCTCCTTCATCTGCATATCAACAGAGATGCTGCAAGGACAAACCTAATCGTTTCATTTTGTGTTCATCCATCAATTGTCTGGGTACCCATCTTGAGCACACTTTCTTCAATTTTCAGACAATCATGCATTATGTTGTATGCTGAACCATGTGAGTAGCCTATTGCAGCTGCTACAGAGTCAACCGTTACTCGCCTGTCACCTCTAATCATCTCCTTCACCTGCTGCATGGATGAGTCTGTTGCAATCTTAGCAGGACTACCAGATCGGACTCCATGAACAATATTAGAGGGTTCTTGAGAATTTTTTAAAAACCCAACTATGCATCACTTTACGGGATACATTTTTGTCGGCATAAACAGGAAGCATTTGCTAGTAAATGTTAGCAGGCAGCACTTTTGCCCCCCCCCCCCAAAAAAAAAACCAACCACACAGCACAACAGCACGTTGTTCTTTGAGGGGACACTGCGTAAGTACAGTCGCCATTTTTGTTCTGTGTCGCGAATGCATATGCAACACACAACGCGCCACCTACTGAACGGAGACATTAAGTTCAAATTTGCTGTCACCTAGTGACACCTTTGGGAACCACCAACTGCATTTTCCTGCTATCCCATAATCATTTGTGACTTACTTATTGACTTCCCCTCATATTTTTTTGTATGTTGTATGAGCTATTTTAGGTGTAAGAACTCTTCGTCAGGTCTCGGTCAGATATGACTGAGCTACCATATAACAGTACTACTCGCTTGTGCTAATCCTGAATATTGGACAGTGATTATCAAACCTGCCACCCCACACTGTGCCTACAGCTTTGACTAGAGAAGCACATTTTGGGGGAAACTTGCCCTGCCCTAAGAAGAGGAAATGCAACCTGAAAACTTAATGTTATGGTAGGATAGGATGGTAGGCCATTAGCCTTGGTTTGGTCTAGGAGGGAAGCTGCTACTGCTTGACAGACACATCACTGCTCTTCTGATCTGGCAGCTTCTGCACCATGCTGTATTCCAAGCATGGTATTACCTTTCTTTTGGATTAGACACAGCAGCCACAAGAGAGATGATGATGCATGGGAAACAAAATCTCTATATCCTTAATTGTTCTATGGACAACCCGATACCTCTTTTTCAGTTTTTTGCTTATTATTCATCTTCACGTTCACCAACTGTAAACTCTGGCGGAAAGTTCTGGTTGTTCATCAACTTCTTGACTGCAGTCCTGTTCCAGAACCTGAGTGTTGCGAGTGCATCCGTTTTACAGATCTGACTCATTTGTATGCAGACTGCTGGTTCCTTTACTCTCAGGCAGATGCACTCTGACTTTGAAGGAAGCTCCCAGTTAGTCAACTCTTAGGACATGCTTTTGAGTAGGCAGTGGGTCTGTTCTTGTTTTCCCTATAACTGGGCCCCGAAACCCACACGGGAAATTTGCTTATTAATTTTCATAATCTATTTTTTCACATTAATCCTAGATCTGAAGATACTAAGGGTGTATAACAGATTCAGAGAAGATTTCCTTGTTGTCTCGCTATTTAAATAAAGTTGGTGTTATAAAGGAAATGATAGATACCGTAGCCTGGATGTTAAAGCCTAGCGATTCTTGGATACTCTATTTGGTTTATTCCATTGATATTAGTTTAGCCTAGATATTCCTGGACACTACATAAAATATTCATGTATACCATGTTGTATACCTATGTTATTTGCGTGTGAGCCATGGACAGTGGGCAGACTAGCTGAAAGATATTTTCTCACAGTGGAGCTGTTGTTTTTGAGAAGAATGCAAAGGATATCATGAGGTGATATGAAAATAAACAAAGCAATACTTTTTCGAGACAAGAAAGTTTTTAACTGGTTTAAAAGTCAGACATAGACAGTCGGTATTTTCCCCTACATGTGAGGGGTTTCCCCACATGTAAGAAGGAATGGACTTGGAGACTTTGGTAACTACTGGCAAGTTTGTTGGAAAGAGAGCAGTGAAAGGTAAAGAGATAGATACCTGGATGGTAGCTGTGGGGAAAACAAGATTAGTGCCATTGCTTCCTCAACAAACATGTCCTAAGAGTCGACTAATTGTGGGGGGGGGTGGACTTTGTTCAAAGTTGGAGTGCATCCGCTTGAGAGGCAAGGAACTAAGAGACTGCATACAAATAAGAACATATCTGTAAAACGGATGTGCATGCAACACTCAGGTTCTGGAACACGACTAAAGTTCAGAGGTTGGCGGAAAACCAGAACTTTTTCCCCGAGTTTACACCCGATGAGCGTGAAGAAGGACAATTGCTTAGCCATGCAGATGGGTCGAGGCAAGAACACTGACCTGATCCGTGTTTTTAGTAAGACTGCAAAACATGACAACCTACTTATGCTTGTCAGCACTATATAATTTTGTCATGTATCATTCACCAGTGCCAACCTTTGACTAAACCATGCACTTTCAGGAAACCGACAGAAGTGACACAGTTAGTGAAGGTCATCAAGCCGGCCCACAGTTGGTGATATGGGGCACGGACGTCATTGTTGGCGTCTGCAAAGGCAAGTTCCGTAAATTCATCTCCAAGTTTGTGGACAAGAGCATGGCAGATGATGAAGAGTTTACTGGCGTCAATGCTGACCAGCCTTACTACTTGCAGCGACTGGATGAGGTAGGAACTGTCATATTATTTTTTTTAACCCTCTGGAGATCGAGTTTCAGTGCCAAAAAGACGAAACCATTAGAAGGGGATTCTCATAGTTTATACACACAATTTAAAAAAAAAATAAAGTGTTTAATTAACATATATATATATATATATATATATATATATATATATATATATATATATATATATATATATATATATATATATATATATATATATATATATATATAAATATATATGAGCTAACAGAATATTTATGAGTAAAACTGAAATCTCAACATTTATTTAAATTAACTATTTTGATTTGCATAATTTATGCAAGCATTAAAAAAAAAACCGGAACAAACATGACTAACCTAAAAAATGCTGAAGAATTTTTTTTATGGATGAAGCTTGAAAAAAAGTCCTGACACTTGTGTTTTGGGAAGTAAGGCCATTGAAGGCTCTTCAGACACTTCTGGCACATGGTTCTACTCATTTTCCTGCCTCCAGCTATGTTTCGGTTGCTATGACGCAACAGTCTTTTTTGCCATTGTTGGGCACAGGTAACTGCAAAAAAAAAAATGGATGTAAAATTACCAAACACATCAGACTTTCTCAAAAGACATCAGTAAACAGCCCACATGTGCAATAAATTTGAAAATTAAACTGATTGGCTGGTACGAAAACCTGCCAGCCAGCTTCAAGGCTTGTATTTTATAGGGCCGACCTATTGGTCCAGTCGTCCTTTTGGCTACTTTGTGTCAGGCCAATTTTTCGGCTGCATCGTCTCCAGAGGGTTAAACATATTAATTGTGGTAATTGTCTGCTTTCATAAACTTTGGAAAGCTTATTAAATTAATATTTAAGCTAAGTTATATTGACAGCACAGAAAGATACATGCTTAACACTACTTGTCATGAATTACTTGTTAAGCGTGTAATAATACTTTTCACATATACTTCTTCACCATTCTGAGCCCTAAATGTTCATTACCGCAGAAATCACCTGCCTCCATCCATCTTGGCCCTTCTCTTTCCAGCTTGTATCTCCTAGACATTTTGATGTGATTTCTTGTCATTTTTTAACTTTACATTTTTAAAATAGTTTATTGTTTACCTTACAGATCAACATAATCGGAGAGCCTTTTCTGAACATCAACTGTTCTCATCTGAAGGAATTTGATGCTGATTTGTATCGTCAGTTGGTCTGCTACCCCCAGGAGGTGATTCCCACTTTTGATATGGCCGTCAATGAAATGTTTTTTGAACGTTTTCCAAATGCTACTTTAGAGCATCAGATCCAAGTCAGACCATACAATGCTGACCAAACAAAGGACATGCGTTCACTCAATCCTGAAGGTAAGATTGTTTGATTTTTGTGGGGGGGGGGGGGTAATTTTTTTTCTCTTCCCCTTTATTTGCATTTTTTCCATCTAATCATCCTTTTTTTTTTCAGGTATTTGTATTTTTGTGGGTGGCCAATGGGTTGTTTTCATTTGTTGAATTGTATATTCTTATTTTCAGTATTGTGTATTTTTCTTCCGCATTTATCTTTAAAAAGATGATTGTCAAGCTGTGTTAGGTGTACACAGCTAGGCTGTGATATCTGTGCACAAATAGTTTCCGCAAATTTTAAATTAGTTTTCTTTATGAAATGCTTGCTAAGGGGCTGTGAGGCTCTTCATTTGGCCCATTAAGTGGGACTCCTCATCTTCAATCTGTTTTTTCCAAATGTTTATGGTATTTACTTTTACTTAGAGGATCTTCTACCTTGGACTGTAGAGGTCTGCCAGAGAGATTGATAGTCTTCTCTGTCAGCAGTTTGTGTGTGTGTGTGGTTTTGTTCAATTCCAGTCCTCTTTCAGTCAGGGACTGTCAGATGTTTTTTTCCGAGGGAACCCTGGGTTGCCCTGGTGGTCAGGTTCCTCAGTTCTTGGTCTCCTATGCTGGTCGATTCTCTCCCATTTTGCATACATGTCCAGACCTTTGCAACTGACTGATCCACTCATTTGAAAGGCCTGGTTTTCAAGATCATGGCGTATTGTCTGATTGCAAACTTTGTCCCTTCTTGTCACTTGGACCACCTTTTTCGGGTATCATTTCTGAAGCCTGGAGCTGGCTTCTGTTAGCTGTCATTGCCCATGACTCACACCCGTAAGTTAGGACTGGCACATAGATAGAGGGTAAACAGCCATTTTCATTCTCTTTCCAATTTCTCTTTTGCTAAGAAACCCTTAGTTTATGACCTGGACAAGTCTTCCAGTTGCTGCTTTTTGAGTAGCCAGCTCTGTCTTAATGCCTCATTTCTTTTTCAATTCCACTGCAGTGCATATTGTTCCATCACAATCTGGTGTTTCTTTATGGGATTTAATGTGGCCAGAATATTAATGTTTATGATATATAAGACTGTTAATGAGACAGAAAATATAATTCAATTTTGGCTTACCTTTATCTGTTAGATATTGACCAACTTATCACCATTTGTGGTATGGTCATTCGGACATCATCCTTGATCCCAGAAATGAGAGAAGCCTTCTTTCAATGTCATGTCTGCCACAACTCTGCAACTGTGGAGATTGACAGAGGACGCATCGCTGAGCCGACACTGTGCGCACACTGCAATACCAAGTTTTCATTCCACATGGTTCACAACAGATCTCAGTTTTCTGACAAGCAAATGGTCAAGCTGCAGGAGTCGCCAGGTAAAATCACATTTGTACTGTTTGCCAGCTGTTGTAAATATATGTTTAAAAAAAAAAGGCATAGTTATCCTGCCAACTGTTGTAAATATATGTTTAAAAAAAAGGCATAGTTATCCTGCCAACTGTTGTAAATATATGTTAAAAAAAAAGGCATAGTTATCCCCTGGCACTTACTACTTTAAAAAAAAAACTTTCCCTCTGAAAAGAGCAAAATTTTGACATTCAAATTCTTTGTAATTTAATGAGTGAAATGTTCAAATTGCACAGAAGAATACCTTAGGTTTTCTTCTTCTTCTTTTGCATTCATCCGAAGATGTAATTGCGTTGTGTCCGTTTACAGCATGGCTGCAATATTTGCACCTTTCGGCCTACACATCCAACTTCTGCAGGCATTTGTTGACCAAGTTAAGCCTTTCCGGTTACGACATGGCAGTCTCATTGTTGTGTGGTCATCCTTATTTCCCAGGTCACATATGGTGCCCCAATCAGGCTGGTCTAGAGAAGCCACATAATGCTGATCATCCCTCAAGAGAAGGCAGGGGCAGAACATGAGCATCCCCCGCCATCGAAGGAGGCTTCCACAAATGCAGAGCTAATACATATACCTTAGGGTTTTACCGAGTTGACAGTTCTTTTGCGTGTGGGTCGTCGATAGTTTTTATGCCTCTTGGCTTTTTTTCATCAACTAATAAAACTGCAGTACCGGATAACATTTTTTTTAAAAAGCAGAGTGCCATAAAATAACAGTTTATTTTTATACACACGCACCACCGACTTGTAGACGTGCAGAACCTAAGATTGTCCTCACGCTGGTGATATACTGCAGGAGTCAGATTCTAGCCACACAGAACCTAAGGAGGTCCTCACGCTGGTGAGGTACTGCAGGAGTCAGATTCTAGCCACATGGAACCTAAGGTTGTCCTCACGCTGGTGAGGTACTGCAGGAGTCAGATTCTAGCCACACAGAACCTAAGGTTGTCCTCACGCTGGTGAGGTACTGCTGGAGTCAGATTCTAGCCCCACAGAACCTAAGGTTGTCCTCACGCTGGTGAGGTACTGCAGGAGTCAGATTCTAGCCACACAGAACCTAGATAAGAACATGATGGAGCAGCAGTAATAACCGTAAATAAATATTGAAGTTTCGTCTATTTTAGGACGACATTTTTTTTGTTATTTGAAGCCCCACCCTGGCTTTTGCCAGGGGCCGCAATATAGGCAGGCCATCAATATGGCCAATTGTCTGAACGCGGTTTCTGGGACCTCTCCACGGCGATCCTCATCCACATGGTGGCACTTTGTGTCATCAGGTGTTTATTGCTTGTGTGATGTCCAGGTGGGGTAGAAAGTCAGTCAGTCAGGCAGTAATAACCACAAGACATCTACACCAGAATTATGCAACTAAGTTAACTCAGGCCCTTCCTTCTTCTTCTTTTTCTTCTCTTCCACCTTGCACCTCATCAAAGTTTTGGGGGAAGATGTAATGTTTGTTGATGAGCTTCTGTTGAGAGCACTATTAAGACTGATGTTCATTTCTGTAAGGATGCTCTTGATTCTATCACTTTATATTTTCTGAGGTCTTCCACTCGCTCTGTACCCTTTGTAATGTTTTAGTGTGGCTCGCTGTGGCAGATAGTACTAGGGAATTCTTATAAGGTGTCCAAACCACTTCATTTGTTGTTCTTTGATGACCTGTAAGACTGGCTTTATTCCTAGCAATCATCTGATTTCGTGATTCTTTATTACTCAGGATCCTAGTTGATGAAAATGGGGATCATAACCCTAGTATAGACTGATCATTTATACAAAACAGTTGGCAATGATTTGGGGGCCACATACTAGACATAGGGAGCTGGATTTGGCCAGCAGGTTAAATAGCCCTAAACTACTTGGAGGGCTCTATGGAGCATTGGTCAAGACCATTGTGGGTACACATGGCACAGTAATAAAATAGGATTGTGGCGCTTAACAGGCAGCTATGTCTAATGTGGCAATAAAGATAACTGCTCCTTCTAAAGCACTTGCATGGGCAGCAGAGCTTGCAGTGTTCGTGTCAGATGATTCAGAATATAGCAGCAGGTATTTCCACTGTGAATAGGCTGATCGACAATAACGAGTTCATGGCTCTAACATGATTAAGTGAGCTGAAGTGAAAACTTGTGAAACCCTTCTGTGCTGTCTTGAAGGTCAAGATAGGAGACAGCTAAATATGGAAATATATCAGTAGCAAAAACTGAAATAGCTGCTGCAGAGGAGGACTGAGCACACACAGGAATGCACAATAAGCAGTGACATTGATCATAACTTTGCATTCTTCAGCTTTAGCATTGTGAACCTTTGAGGTTCATTGCTGCAAATGTCATCTGCCTCTATTTTAATTTCTCTTATTGGCCTTCTCTTTCCATTTGGTGTAGGTCTGTATATACATTATCACTACATCATCTTCTTGGTCTGCCCTGTGGTCTACTGATATTTTCCTCTCTTTTCCCACTGTGGGTTTCGGGACCCCATTGAGGAGAGGGGGGGGGGGGGGAGGGGGGGTTAGACCCACTGCCACCCTGACAAGCAGGGTATCTGAGATTTGCTGCAGTTTAACACCTGCAAAACTGGTTCTCTTAGTCACTAGTTGTCGATTCTAGAAAGGAAATACTTAACGACAAATGTATATCATTCATATTAGTTAAAGCCATTCATTTAAATATATAGTCATAATCATCATCATACTCATTATCATCATGGAGCAGGTCATTTGCAGAACGTCGCTCTCATCACAGTCTGCCTGAAAGAAACTCGGTCTCTCACCAGTTCTCCTAAACTTTCATACTCAAGGAGTCACTTATATCCTGTGCCCATCGTCGTGTTGGTCGGCCCCTGCCCCTCCTCCCTGGTACCATGCCTTCTGCTATAATTTTTTTCCAATCCGCCGTGGCGCTTGATATGACCAAAATATTTCATCATACTACAGTGAATATAATTTATTTACCTGTTGCAGAGGATATGCCACCTGGCCAGACACCGCACACCATCATTGTCTATGCTCACAATGACCTTGTTGACCGCGTGCAGCCGGGTGATCGTATCACAGTCACTGGCATTTACCGTGCTGTTCCTCTGCGGGTCAACCCTCGACAGCGCAATGTCAAATCTGTGTACAAGACACACATTGATGTGGTTCACTTCAGGAAGCTTGATACTAAAAGACTGACGGAAGAAGTGGAGGAAGGGTGAGTGAAAGTGTTGTATTGTTTACTCCTTTGTAAAATTGTGAATAGTTTCAGAAAAGACCTAAAACATATTGAACTTGACAGTCATCATGCATCTACTCCTGCAATTGTATACAATTAATAAACAAGCTTTGCAGTATTGAATAAGCCAAGATAATTCATAGACTAAAATTCCCATTATTGAAATAGACAAAAAAGCTATAAATCCCATTTATAACCTAGGTGGGTTGAACAGGATATTGTGGTTAAATTATTAGTATTATGCACATCATTCAGGTCAGTCACCAGTTATTATGGTTCTTAAGTTTTAATTGTAGTTTTAAAAAGAATAATTAACAAAAATGTAATTTTTGTGCCATCTCAGCATTTGAGGCTGGCAGAAATGGTCATGTGCAATTACTGCTATCTTTGAAAAAATAATGTTTTGAAGCTCTAATCTCAACATTGGTGCTTCCTTTGAAGTCACAGTGCATCTGTCTGAGAGCCAAGGAACCAGTAAACTGAATATAGATAAGCCAGATATGTAAAACGAATGTGCATGCAAAACTCAAGTTCTGGAACAAGACAAGTCCAGAAGCGGACGAACGGCCAGAGCTTTTCGCCAGAATTTACACCTGCTGAACACTAAACACAACAAAACAAAAAAATAGAGGGACCATGGGGCAACGAAGCTTTGAAAAATGTGCTCAGTACCATTCAAACAACAGAGCCGCAACATAATCTGATACATAGGAGTAATTATAATTAAAATGTAAATGTTGTGAAGGTCCTTTGGGAGCCAGGGAACAGTGGCGAGACACAGTTAGATCATCACGGTCTGAGGAGTAGGGCAGTATGAGGAGTTTACAATGAGATCTGACCGATGCTTGACACTCAGGAAAAAGAAAAGGCGAGACGGATATACATCAAACAGTTACTGGTACCGTCAGAAATTTAGCTCTTCGCTTGCTGCTGAAGATGGGAACTGAGCGCTTATGGGGGTGTCCCGAGTGCTGTGATGTCGATTCTTGATTCAACATTAAATTAAAATTTGCTAGATTAAAGAATTACATTACTTAGAATTTTAGTGGACCTAATTTTGATTTCTTGAACCTATCCTTATTTGTATCTGTTGTTTTTGTTAACACTTTTTGATATTAACAAGTGACAGATTGATTGAATTGTATGTCTACAGGAAAACTGTTCACATGAGCGAAGAAAGAATTGAAATTGTAAAAGCTCTCTCGAAAAAACCAGACATCTATGAAAGGCTAGCAAGAGCCATTGGTAAATGTTTTTGTTTTATTATGTCAGTCCCTTATATATCTTTGAAAAAAAACAATATTCTTACAGTTATCTGTTTTAATAGCATATATTTTTAGCCATTTCTTTAAACTAAGCCTGTGGTGTGTTTGTATGCATGATGTTTCCTCCCTAGACACAGATAAAGGTCACAAACCGAAAAAAGGAAGGTCTTGGATGGCTCAAGCTGAAGAGACAATTAGTGTGGCAAGATCACTTTGAAGGTCCCGGATTGTTAGCGTCCTTTGGATATTTTCTCTATGTCATGCCTGTGGTTGGGAAATGAACAGGTGTGGATGATTTCATTTGTTCCATGATTAGGTAATGGGTTGATTTCATTTGTTCCATGATTAGGTAATGGGTTGATTTCATTTGTTCCATGTTCAGGTAATGGGTTGATTTCATTTGTTCCATGATTAGGTAATGGGTTGATTTCATTTGTTCCATGATTAGGTAATGGGTTGATTTCATTTGTTCCATGATTAGGTAATGGATTTATTTCATTTGTTCCATGATTAGGTAATGGGTTGATTTCATTTGTTCTATGATTAGGTAATGGGTTGATTTCATTTGTTCCATGATTAGGTAATGGGTTGATTTCATTTGTTCCATGATTAGGTAATGGGTTGATTTCATTTGTTCCATGATTAGGTAATGGGTTGATTTCATTTGTTCCATGATTAGGTAATGGGTTGATTTCATTTGTTCCATGATTAGGTAATGGGTTGATTTCATTTGTTCTATGTTCAGGTAATGGGTTGATTTCATTTGTTCCATGTTCAGGTAATGGGTTGATTTCATTTGTTCCATGATTAGGTAATGGGTTGATTTAACATAAAATAGTTTTTTTTTTTTTTTTTTAAACAGAATGTTTTACTGATTCTCACTTGTCTGTTTTCCAGCACCAAGTATTTATGAAAATGAGGATGTGAAGAAAGGGTTACTACTCCAGTTGTTTGGTGGAAACAGAAAAGATTTCTCCAACACTGGTAGAGGAAAGTTCCGGTAAGATTTTCCTGTATCCCTGATTGTTTTCGTTAGGTGTGTGTTAATGGCTGGTATTATAACGAGAACCCACTTTTGTCAGTGTAGAAATCAAGTAAGATTGTTTGAATACTCTTGTAAAAAATTGTTTTGGCTATGAAAATGTATCATCCGAATGTGGATTCCTGGGACCCCATTGTGTTGAAAACAAGAATAAACCCACTGCCTCCCCAGCAAATATGTTGTTGAAGTCAGCTAATTGGGGGCATCCCTCAGAGCCTGAGTTGATATGAACCAACAGTCTGCATAAAATAAGCCAGATCTGTAAAATGGATGTGCACGCAACACTCAGGAACAAGACTAAAGACAGGAGGTGGATGAACAACAAAAACTTTTCACCAAAGTTTACAGCTGGTGAACAAGAAGAAGAGGAATATTTATCAAAGGCAACAGTAAACAGAAGAAGTTCTAGAATAATCATATTTAAAATTTGAACAGGCGGAGAGGCAGATAAATTGCATGAGGGTTGTAAGCAAAATTCAATAGATGTCGCTTAGTGCAAACCAAGCATGGCAAATGACACCACACCTAGTTTAAGAATGGAGGTGGAGGCAGTCACTGCAGCCTTTCGATGGCTTGAGAATTAGGTTGTACAGACATGTCATAATTGTAGCTGACTCACAGAGCATGTTGAGAAAGGTGGAGACAGGCATGCTAAGTGCAGGGTGGCAGGCATCACTTCAGAGGTCCTGGATAGTTAACATCTTTGGATATGTCCCCAAGGACATGCAGTGTATAAGGAAATGAACGGGCAGATGGACTGGCTGGTTCTGCACAACTTAGTGGTGAAGTTATGCATGACAAGCTAGATGTTGTAAGGGCCCTTTGTGGGCGATGAACAGTTCGGAAACTCAATTGGTTCATCGTGGTCTCAAGAGAATGACACTACGAGGAGTGACTAGTGGATCTGGTCGACGATCAGCACTCAAGGGAAAGATAAGACCATATACAATCAGACTGCTATCGGTATCATTGGAATTGTAACTCTGCACTTGCTGCTGCAGATGGGGACGGAATGTGAATGTCCCGAGTGCTCTTGATTCTTAATCAAACAGTTAAATAATAAGAAGGCATATGTGAGAGAGGATAACTTCTAAAGGATCAGGATTATTTTTCTGGGCAACTGATGAGGATGACTTTCTACAAAAGACTTACTAACCCTGGCACCATGAGAAACCACAAAACTGACACTTCCGGTTGGGGCCAGTTCCTTGTAAATGTCACTTTTCCGACTTGTCTGTAGTGACCTGTTTATAGGGTGCTCTTGGCTGTGTTCACTGCTGCAGGAATTATTACGGGGAAGGGGGGGGGGGGGGCAGTCAGGATCTGAATATATTAGTATTTAGGGGAGTCTTTGAAACAGACACATTTATTAAAAACTAGTTAACAGCTAATTCTCATTAAATCTTAGTGATGGGTCGCGGCATAAGTCACCCAATAAATATATGTTTTTGGCCTTGGGTAATGTATCCCATTTAATACTTCACACTGTTTATGGATTCTTCTTCTTCTGCCTTTCTAGCCCCCAATGGAGCATAGGCCCTCAACCAACTTACACCAAGTTGTTCTGTCTTTTGCTATTGCACGCAGCTTTCCCCGTCTTTCTAATTTCATTCTCCAGCTTCCTTCTCAGTGTGTTTTTTGGCCATCCTTTATTCCTATACCCCTGGGGGTTCCAGTGCAAAGACATTCAAGTTATATTATTCTCCAGATTTTCTCAATGTGTATCCTATCCAACGTTAGAGACTTTTCTTCACTTCTTGGTCCACTGGAGCTTGCTTAGTTCTCTCCCAAAAGTCTACATTAGTGATTCTATCATACCATTTAATTCCCTCTATTTTATGCAGGCACCAATTAATGAATGTCTGTATTTTATTCGTAATTGCCTTAGTTCTCTGTGTTTCCGCCCCATGTTTATGAATTTCTTCCTTTATATATCTTTATACTTTTAAGGGGGAAAATAATTCTTCTTCTTTCCGTTTAACGGCTGTAAACTCCAGCGAAAAGCTCTGAGTGTTTGTCTACCTCTGGACTTTAGTTTTGTTCCACTACCTGAGTGCTGCATACACTGTTTCACAGATCCGGCTTATTTGTATGCAGACGTGGTTCCTTGCCTCTCAGGCAGATGTACTCTGACTTCGAAGGATGTCCCCAATTAGTTGACTTCTACAACATGCTTGTTGGGGAGGCAGTGAGTCTATTCTCATTTTGCCCACAATGGGACCCTGGAACCCACACGAGAGAAAAAAAAATAGATAAAAGTGTACATAAATAAATGTACATTTTGTTTAAAAATTAGTGACCCGTGTAAAATTGTTTGTTTTTAAGGATTTTTTCACAAGGTCATAGTTCATTTTTTTAGCGGTAGTGAGACAGCAAGGTTATTGTGGTGCTGGGGTGTCTGTGGATTACCTACCTCCCCGGGCAGCAGCTAGAAATGCCCTGTACAGTTCTAAAGGAAATATGGGTTGTGTTTCTGCCTTTCCCTTTAACACGTAGCTAAGGTGGGGCTCACAGTGTTCTCATTCCCCGCCACCAGATTGCCTGCAGGTTTCGCTGAGCTCTTCATGTCTCTAAGCATGGCCTAAGCATGAGTAGTTGGGGCAACTGGATCGTCACGTCCTGAGTCCCTGTGCCTTCACGATAGTTTCCGGTATTCAGGGGGGTTAGCATACTTGTTTCCATTCCTAAGACTGTTCAGCACACCTTTGGTTCCTTCCCTCCCACAGGGGGCAGTACGGTGTGGTGCACCGGGTTTATTATCGAGGTTTGCTCCTCTAGATCCATTGTGTTTTGCCTGGGGATTCGCACCCCCAGTTACCGGGACTACCTCGGGGAGGCTGTGACTCTTCGCCACGCACAATGGTCTTGAGGTAAGAGAGGTTTTGCTAGGTCAAGAGGCTGACACCACAATGGACGCTCCTTTCGTGAACAGATATTCACTAGACCTAGGGTGAAGTAAGGGGGGGAACCCACTACCCACAACACCAACACTTCTTACCCCCTGCCTCTCGAGGCTCAGTCCCTTAGACAGCAAGGTTAAGATGATGATGAAATTGAGTGCATCCATGTTTGTTTCTTTGTTCATACTCCTAGATCAGAACTGAACATTTTGCTGTGTGGTGACCCTGGTACCAGTAAATCCCAACTTCTGCAGTATGTCCACCATCTTGTACCTCGAGGTCAGTACACCTCCGGAAAAGGTTCAAGTGCGGTGGGTCTTACCGCCTATATCACGAAAGATCCGGAAACCCGGCAACTGGTTCTCCAGACGTATGTACACATTAATGTTTTTCAAAAATGATACTTACAAATTTGTGAAGGGTCTCAAACAAATCAATGCAGTTATAAAAAATATAACTGCATGCAGATTCCGGGGCCCTTGTTAAGGTGGGAGGCCAGGTCTGCTGCTCTCACCATACAGATCATTAAAAGCGACTAATAAAGAATTTGTCAAAATCGGAGGTATTGGGCCGAAAGGTGCAGAGGACGCTGGCATGTCAACTGCCTTATTTTAAAGGGTAGATGCAGAATGAATATAAAAAGAAATACAGACTTACATTTTCAATTTTCTATTACATTCTTTTTTAAGTTAAGTTGCCATTGTTTTGACTAATGTATTCGCCTGGTGGCCCAATGATTCTGAATTTGTCCTTGCTGCTCGATACTGAAGTTTAACGGTGGCAGAATATGAAAAACATATTGAGGTTCAGAACGATGCATAGCGGAAAAAAAATTCTAAGAATAAATGACAGTTTTATGACATGATCAGACTATACCAGTGATTCTCAAACTGTGCACCGCGGGGCCCCAGGGAGCTGCGACCTCTTCACAGGGGCACTGCAAAATATTGTAAAAGGTTCATAATTAATTGAACCAAGACATGAAAAGTCATACTTTCACTTAGGTTAGAGGGCGGTGGAAAAATTTTAATTGAAAAAAGGGGCCGCGACCAATAACAGTTTGGGAAACACTGGACTACACATTTCTTGTTTTATTTGTCAATGTCAGATTGAAAAGAGTCATTTTGTGAGAAGTCTGGTGTGAGCTCCATACACTGTGGTATTTACAACCTTAGATATTCTAAAAGAGTATTTGCAGGTTCATTTCTGTTTCCTTTGTCTGTGTGCTAGAGTGCTTTATGGGGCGCATGCTGAGATAAATGAAGACAAGCATGACCCGTTCTGAATGGCAGGCATCACTTCAGAGGTCTCCCTGTATTTAGTAGTTAAGAGTCCTTTGGGTCTTTACTCTGTGGGTATATTGGGAAATAAATGTAGGGCAGATTGGCTGGTGCTGCACCGCTGGGTGGCCAAATTGATACATGTCAAGCCAGATGTGATCAGCTCACGAGGAGCAGTTTAAAAAAAAAAAAACAATTTATAAAAAATTCTTTTTTACTACGTCAAATGTAATAATTTTGTTGTTGTTCTACAGGGGTGCCTTGGTTTTAAGTGATAATGGTGTCTGCTGCATTGATGAATTTGACAAAATGAATGACAGTACCCGATCAGTGCTTCATGAAGTCATGGTACAGCTTCTGTGTTGTTGATTATTGTTAGTGATTGTAATGTGTCCTTTTTTATTTTACTACATATCTTAGATTTAGAATCTGCCAGTGAAATAAGGAGCAAGAGGAAAAGACAATTTGATAGAACGTACATTGGGACAAACCATACAGCATTATAACTGGAATTTCATGGTACTCATATTCTGTAGTATCCAATAAACCAAAAGTTTTTTTTGCTAGCGATTCGTTCCAAGACACCTTTTTATAGGTTTTTTTTTTTTTTTTGGCCTTGCCGTGATAGGTAATTTGTGACACATACCAACTCTTTTTCTCTAGAAAAAAATCACACGATCAATTATTTATATGAAATTATATTATTCTTTTTTTAGTGCATTAATTAGGTTGTGCCTTCTAAATAAAAGGTTTTTGGATTAAAAAAGATATTTCTGACCAGAGAACGTATTCCGTACCTATACTAGTTATTAGCAGTAGTAAGTAAAGCATATTGAAAGAATGTCAAATGACAGAGAAGTACAAACTGTATACTCGAGGGAGATGAAAGGTCATAGACTACGAGGCAGACCAAAAAGAAGATGAAGAGATAATATCCAGACAAACCTGCAAACACTTGGTGTCACTAACTGGAAAGAGAAGGCCAAACAGAGAGATGAATTAGGGCAGGTGATATCTGCAGCAATGAACCTCAGTGGCTCGGAATGATGAAGAAGGCCAAACAGAGAGATGAATTGGGGCAGGTGATAGTTGCAGCAATGAACCTCAAGGGCTCGGAATGCTGAAGAAGGCCAACAAGAGAGATGAATGGAGACGGGTGATATCTGCAGGAATGAACCTCAAGGGCTTGGAACGCAGAAGAAGGCCAACCAGAGAGATGAATGGAGGCGGGGATATCTGCAGCAATGAACCTCAAGGGCTTGGAACGCAGAAGAAGGCCAACCAGAGAGATGAATGGAGGCGGGTGATATCTGCAGCAATGAACCTCAAGAGCTCGTATGCTGAAGAATAATAAGTAGTAATTAAAGGAGCCTTTGCATATCAGTTGCATGCTGGGTACATGCTACTAGACCCCACATTTATAATGAGAAAAACAAATAGTTGCATTCAATCGTTGTAAAAATAGTTTGAGTCAAGAGGATCAACTTCATTGCACCGAGATTTATTCCATATGGCTCAGTCTCTCTTCAGAACTGCTAGCCCCACAAAGCAAAAACACTGTAGCTCCGCCAATGATCACCAGGGGTCTTCATAAAAATTGCACCCGTAAAACGAATAACGCAGCTGTGAAATGAACCTGTGACCTTTAAAGGGCGAGGCAGGCAGTTTGATACCTTCACCACAGAGACCCCAAAAGGGTGTGTGTCAACATTATTTAAACTGCCGAGAATATTTCCTCTCACCCATTTTAGATGAGTGCACCTGGGAGGTGATGTCAGTTACATATTATTTAAAAAAAAAAAAAGTTCTTTTTATTTTTCTTGATCTTTGCACTCATCAGCAGAATTTTGGCTATTGATCCACTTCTGAATTTTCATTTTGTTTCAGTACAAATTCTTGTTTGTTTTTGTATGTTAATACTGTTTATTTGGTCATGTAACGCCAGGAACAACAAACACTCTCCATTGCCAAAGCTGGAATCATCTGCTCCTTGAATGCTCGCACATCCATCTTGGCTGCCGCCAACCCTGTGGAGTCCCAGTGGAACAAGAACAAGACAATCACTGAAAACATCCAGCTTCCTCACACGCTGCTTTCCAGGTAAGTGACCCACACCGTTCTTTGGCAGATCTGCTTCCTCTTCACCTCTTTTCCTCCATCTTTTTCTTCTTCAATGCTTGGCTTTAAATAGGCAGTTGGCATATTGTGTTGTCATTTGCAACTAGATCTGCATCTTTTGGCCCATTAGATACAATTTCAGCAAACCTCTGATTAATTGCCTTTTACGACATGCATATTTTTTTTTCTTTTCTTGCAGGTTTGATCTGATATTTTTATTGCTGGACCCACAAGATGAATTGTTTGATCGGCGTCTTGCAACTCATCTGGTATCTCTTTACTTCAGAAGCATGGAGGCAGAGGAGGAGGAGAATCTGGTGAGTTATCCAGTGCAGATGAACAAGTTGTGGTTAATGAACTATTCGGTATTTTTTAGATTTTTTATAATTTTGCTCTTCTTTGCATTCGGTTTTATGTGCTCGGATCATTCCATCAGGTGGGTTGCCTTATGAACTCGCATGTCAGCAGCAGGTCCCTCATGATTCCTCACAGCTTGCTCTGCGCACTTTGCTCTTGAGGCCAGGTTTCCTTTCAAAGGTGTAGGTAGAGTGGGCAAGGTTGTAGAATATGCTCAGGTGTTTGTGATCCTGTCTGACAGGCTCGTTGTGGGGACTGTACAGTCTTTATTTTATGCAATATGCTCCAACCATTTCAGTCTATTAGCTCTCATGACGGTGATTTAAACAGATTATTAATTTCATTGTTACTTCTCACTCTCTGTTCACCACTGATGGCATCTTTGATGGGTCCAAAGATTCGTCGTAGGACTCTGTTTTTGAAAACCTGTAATAGGGCTTCATTTCGTTTAGTTGTGCTCCAAGTTTCAGAGCCATATAACACGACTGGTCTTAGCTACGTTTTATATATTTTGATCTTGGTGTTGCGAGACAGACCCTTTGACTTTAGCACATGTTGAAGGGCATAGTATACTTTATTTCCAGATTGTATTCTAGATTCTATTTCTTCCAAGGGCAAGACAATTAGTATTTAAAAAAAACATTTGCCTCGGACTTAACCAATTAATGACAAGTCACATTCTATGATTGACAGATTTCTGTGTATGTATTTCTAGGACATGAACATCCTGAAGGACTATATGACGTATGCCAAAGCTTTTGTCCACCCAAAGATAGGAGAAGAAGCTGGCCAGGCTTTTATCCAGGCTTATGTTGAAATGAGGAAAGTTGGCAGCTCACGCGGGCAAATATCTGCCTACCCTCGACAGCTGGAATCGCTGATCCGCTTGGCTGAAGCTCATGCTAGAATGCGACTGTCTGCGACCGTCGAGGTAGCAGATGTGGAGGAAGCTAGAAGGTAGGCAGGTCTTGTTACTCTTCATTATCTTCTTCCTTTGACAGGTCCTTTACTGAAGTCACTCCTGCCACAGCCTACATAAATAAAATTGGCCCTGCCCTGGATCTCCTTTATGTTTTGTTCCTGGCTTCGCAATGGTTGACCCCTCTTCCTCAGATGGGGCCAAAGTAGTTTAGTTTCAGAGACAAACTGCTGTTTGTGAGCCAGTTTACCTCTTCATTCTTCAGTTCTTCTGTCAGAAATATTGTATCAGGAGGCAGGTAGCCTGTATTAAAGCTATTGTACAGTCCAAATCTCCCTGTGTACCATACAGCTTTGTCTTCATTGAAGTTTAAATTGGCCAGATTGCTTCTCTGTTAGCAGCACAGTTGACAGTGCTGGAGCACGTGCTCGTCATTTTCTAGTGCCAAGTCGCAGGGGCACCTTGATGTTCAGATTTTTCAAATTTTTCTTTCTGTCTGTGATAGTCCAGGAATCTTTCTGTAGCATTTCCACTCAAAGCCCCTCTTCTTTAAGGATTGCTAGACTGTCCATGACTCACATCCATGTATTGGCACTGTTAGTGTTGAAAATTCAGCATTGGTAGTTGGCTGCTTGGCCATCAGGAACTGTGCTATGATGAACTATGCAACCATGAACTGTGGCTCAGTACTACATCTGATCTGACTTCAACAAGTATTTTTCAGGTTTGCTTTCTGTGTCTTTAACTGTCCCCATGGAAGATCATATGTGTCAGAATTGATTGAAACTACACGAGACAGAAGGTTGTGGATAGAAATGACTACCAACTCCACATGGCGTGGACTATAGGAAGATGAAGTAAATTCTGTAGATATCACCTTATGGAATGCAGCAAAATACATCAAACAGTATAGGATTGTCTCTGTGGGGAAGTTGTCAAGCAGTAGGTCTTGTGATGGTCTCATTTTATGAATGGTGTTTGGTTCACGAGTGCCGTCTTTATGGAGATCTCTTGGAATCAATTGTTGCCGGAGCTATGGAGTTTGTGCTTTGTGTAACACTGTCGGCTGGTTGCTATCCATTTAATGAAGAGAGACCAAGTTAATTTGGGATAAAATACAGTGCAGTGAAGTCGATCCTCTTGATTTTGTTTTTCTTTTTAAACTAAAGACGCCAGACTGCAGACGTGTGTACAAGAAATTTGGAGTGGGGATTCAGAACTTTACTGATGTGGATAGGCACCACAGAATACTGTACCGAACATGTGCTTTCTGCATGCAATGGAGAATTCCATTTTTGGTCAGCTATCATTCCAACTGAAACCAAGTTGTTCCGGTCCCCATTGTGGGAAAAACACCCACTGCCTACCCAAAAGCATGTTTGTAAGAGTCGACTAATTGGGAGCTTCCTTTGTCGGAGTGCATCTGCCTGAGAGGCAATGAACCAGCAGTCTGCATTAAAGTAAATCAGATGTGAAAAACTGATGCACACACAACACTCAGGTTCAGGAGCAGGACTGCAGTCCAGGAGTGGACGAACAACCAAAACTTTCCGCAAGAGTGTACAGCTGGTGAATGCAAAGAAGAAGAAGCCAAGTTGTATGAATCATTCAAAGACATGAATCGCACGACAGACTTTGTAGAGGTCTATGGCCTTCTCATCTGAAAAACACTGGCAGGGAGAACGAAAAGAAAAAGAATGAAGATTTTAAACCTTTAATGTACCGTTTGTATTCTCATTATTTAAGTTATGTAAATTATTATAATTCTCCTTCTCACGTCAGGCTGTATAAGGAAGCCCTGAAGCAGGCTGCCGTAGATCCATCGACAGGCAAGATAGACATCACTATCTTAACGACAGGCATCAGCGGTGCAGCACGCAAGCGTAAAGCTGAGACTGCAGCCGCCTTGAAAAAGCTGATTCAGTCCAAGGGCAAAGTGCCTACGCTGAAACATCAGAAACTGTATGAAGACTTCAGAGAGTCCTCTGATATTGTAAGTCAACAATGTTTTCATAATCTATTTTTTTTAAATGTATTTTATACCCCTTTTTATGCATTGTATATCCCCTTTTATACATTATTGTCATGTATTGTGTATCTCTTGGAAAATGAACTCATACATTAATTTTTCTTGAAAACCAAATCATTCATTTATATGTTTTTGAAAGTCAGATGATTGTTTCATCTGTTTAGGAATCGGTTTCTTGTGTGATCTTAAAAAGAAAAAAAAAAACATCCATTAATTTACATATCATCATTGTGTTTTGAAAAGTCGAACTATCCATTAACATTTTTATAGCCAAACCATCCATTCGGCACCTTAAAATGTATCATTATTAATTCATCTGTCGTTAAAAAAAGCCAAATGATTTATCCACCTCTTGAGAATTAAGTTGTTTTTTACTTTATGCTAAAGAAAAGTAAATAGCTTGAAACCAAACAATCTATTATTTTGTGTGTTTTTTGGAAGCATAAATCTGATTTTCTTTTGCACAACAAAGATTGTTTTCCTGTCCATACTTCCATCAGAAGTTAAAATGTATCCCTGGTGTTTTTACTTGTTTGTTTTATTAAAAAATTTTTTAAATATTTTTTATACTGACATTGTTTCTAGCTGCGGATGTTTTACCACTGTTTCTTTGTCAATGCTGATTCCTTTTTTAATTGTATTTCAGCCTGTTTGGTAAAAATTCAGTTTTACTGTGTCAGCTATCTCTGCAGTTGTCACTTTCAGGTGCGATATCTTTTCTTCACTCTTGATGCATTTCTGCATTCTGAGGACGATCTTCCAAATCTTGGCGTATAACAATAATTTATTGGACTGGATTTAAAAAAACATTTTTGTTATATTTTTTTTAAAACTAAAAAATATGAAATTCTTTTTCTTGTTTTTGTTTGTCCAAGTGACATAAAATTGTGTTATGCCTGTTTACAGCAAAGCCGCTGTATTTACGCCTCTCGGCTGACACATCCAACTTCATTGAGCATTTGTTGACCGGCTTAACTTTATGCGATTCTGGTTCCATCTCCCTATATATTTCTGTAGGTGTTTTTCTGTGCAACATTCATGATTTTATCACATCAGTTCCACATAGAGTATGTTCTACTCTCCTGCATAGGAAGAGAACCGGCTGAAGAAAAAAATAACATTCACTGCAAAAATCAGGAGTTTTGAATGTTCCCAGTTTAATCCTTAGTTAGTTAGTTAGTTAGTTAGTTAGTTAGTTAGTTAGTTAGTTAGTTAGTTAGTTGGGTTATCCTCATTGCACTCCGGACATTCATGTGCTCAGATCCTCCCCTCATTGAACCCCTACGTACGATCTAATAGTACCAGTTCTATGTTGATTAACAAGTCTTCTGGCGTAGCTGGTGTGCGTCTCGTTTTTGATGTGCCGTTCTTAATTAGTCTGCCATTCTGGCGAGTGATGTGGATTCACTGCCACCAAAGTCCTCTATTCTTCCATTTTCTGAGGGCATTGATAATATCAGCATGATCCATACTGACCGTCGGTAGTGATAGCGGATCCAGCCACCTGTCAGCTCTTTCATTTTTTCTGCGTGTCCCGGAACAAAAATAAAGGTGACTCCACGAACAGTTTTCTGTAATGATTCAAGCCATTGTCTTCGACTGTCACGGATCATACTCATTGAATCACTGAGTGACACACGCGGGTGAGTTTTTGTGTTTTTAACTTGACAGACTTCACAAGTCAGACTTCTGCACATTCCCTTCTATAGAAATCATACCTCAGGCCACTTATTGTAAAATCTTTCCGAGTGATTGATCAGTCTATTAATAAATGAGGACATTGCACTCAGTGCATTCCCACATGCGCTCTGTCCTCCTCCTCAGTAGCCAACAAAGAGTCCCCATACTGATGATGCCAGTTGCAACCTGATTAAAAGTCCATCTGAAAAAGTCCATGCCACAGACATTTTCATTATGTTAATCAGTTAGTCACAGTTTTAACTTGACAGCAGTGAATCACAGTTTTAACTTGAATCTGAGTGAATTGATCAATAGATTAATACATGATGACATTGCACTCAGGGCATTCCCACATGTGCTCTGTCCTCCTCCTCAGTAGCCAACAAAGAGTCCCCACACTGATGATTTTGCAACTGATTAAAAGTCCATCAAAAGTCGAGCCACAGACATTTTCACTATGTTAATCAGTTAGTCACAGTTTTAACTTGACAGCAGTGAATCACAGTTTTAACTTGAATCTGAGTGAATTGATCAATAGATTAATACATGATGACATTGCACTCAGGGCATTCCCACATGTGCTCTGTCCTCCTCCTCAGTAGCCAACAAAGAGTCCCCACACTGATGATACCAGTTGCAACCTGATTAAAAGTCCATCTGAAAAAGTCCATGCCACAGACATTTTCATTATGTTAATCAGTTAGTCACAGTTTTAACTTGACAGCAGTGAGTCAGTTTAAACTTGACAGCAGTGAGTCACAGCTTTCACTTGAGTCACAGTTTTCACTTGACAGCAGTGAGTCACAGTTTTCAATTGACAGCAGTGAGTCACAGTTTTTCCTTGACAGCAGTGAGTCACAGTTTTCACTTGACAGCAGTGAGTCACAGTTTTCACTTGAGTCAGTTTTCTCTTGACAGCAGTGAGTCAGTTTTCACTTGAGTCACAGTTTTCACTTGACAGCAGTGAGTCACAGTTTTAACTTGACAGCAGTGAGCCACAGTTTTCACTTGAGTCACAGTTTTCACTTAACAGCAGCGAGTCACAGTTTCAACTTGACAGCAGTGAGCCACAGTTTTCACTTGTCACAGTTTTCACTTGACAGCAGTGAGTCACAGTTTTAACTTGACAGCAGTGAGCCACAGTTTTCACTTGACAGCAGTGAGTCACAGTTTTAACTTGTTTCACAGATTTCACTTGACAGCAGTGAGTCATAGCAGGCAACAAGGCAAGAGACCTACCAAGGAACAGATGGGTTGTGGGAGTTAAAAGAAACACAACAGAAACATAAGATGACATTAAGGCCAGAAATTACATCCAACTCCTCTTTGCAGTGCTTTGTGGTACAAACTGTAGGACAGACAAGAAGAAAAGTACATCTTTTGCAAGCCCTGGGTAAAGGAAGATTTTTGAATAAATAATACGTTTTCACATTGCACTTTCTATGTATAACAAAGTTGATATCTTTCTGTGTTTGTTTTCAGCCGATCACCAAGGAAATGTTTGATGATGCTCTCCGTGACTTACAGGATGAAGATTTCCTCATCGTCACCAACAAAGTCATCAGGCTGTGTTCTACATAACTTCCCTCTTGAAGCCTTAAAAGCTTTTTGTTGAATTCATGTGAAGAAACTACTTTAATTGTTGTTATTTTGTTTGCACAGACCGACTGTAAACCCCGGCAGAAAGTCATTGTTCTGTCTATATTTGTTTTTGGGGTGCTTTGCTCCAGAACCTCAGTTTTGCATGTGCACCAGTTTTACAGATCTAGATTATTTTATGCAGAATGTTGGTTCTTTGCCTGTCAGGCAGATGCACTTCGACTTTGAAAGAATTACCCCTAATTCGTCGCCTCTTACACTATGCTTGTTGTGGGGGCAGTGTATCCTTTTTGTTTTTAAATCGCGCCCAGAAACCAGCGCGGGGAACTTCTTTTTTAAAGCAGCTTGTCTTTTTTTGCTGGTTGAGCATTAGTTGGCTTTTGTAGAATTTCTTCTTCACGCTCACCAGCTGTAAACCCTGGCAGTAAGTTCTGGTTGTTCGTCTACTTCTGGACTGCAGCCCTGACTTGGTTATATGCAGACTGTTGGTTCCTTGCCTCTCAGGCATATATACTGTGACTTTGAAGGAAGCTCCCAATTAGTTGATTCTTATGACATGCTTTTGGGGTAGGCAGTGGGGCTGTTTTTGTTTTCCCTATAATAACCCACATGCGGAATTCATTTATTTTAAAAGAAAAGAACAGCAAACACTCAGTACAATAGAAGTCAGGATTGAAGGAAAAGTTTTGTAAAAATCTGCTATTTATGGTTTCATGTAAGTTAAATTACAGAACTTAGGATATTCCCATAAGCGCTTGTTCATTATCCTCAGCATCGAAGAGTTCCACTGCTGATGGCACCAGAAACAGTTTGATTATATGTTGTTTCTCTGAGTGAAGAGTGTTGGCCTGATGCTGTGCCACTCTCAATAGACCTTAGATTTTTTGGCGCTTGCACATTGTTCACTTGCTGCCAAAGGGCTTTAACTGTATCTAGATTGTGATGATCACATGCAAGTGTAGGAAAACCAGAAGGTCTGTCTGCCTGGATTTTTTTTTCAACACACCCACTTACCCAGAGTTGACAAACTGATCGGCTGATCAATAGAAACTGCAGAATGTATAAAATACTCACACAAAATACAGGACAGAAATGACAGTAAATAATCAAAAGACATGGTGTATTCTCATAATCACATGGTTTATTTAAAAAAAAAAAGGTGCTTGAAAAATGAACTGAATTCCTTTGCTGTTTGTGGAATGTCTTACTTCTTCATTAGGACATTACCATCAGAGAGACTATACAAAACACAACCTTCGCTTCTTGGCTTTTTTAGATCTTAGAAATGTGCATCAGATACAGACATGTGCATATTGTGTTCATTTATTATTAAATATCACAAACTGTGGCATACAAGTCATTATCAAGCCTAGATATAATGTGTCCAAAACTAGGGGTTGATTTATGTGGCAGGTACAAAAATGCGCATCTTTGTTATCTGCAGTGAATCCACATCACTCGCCAGAATGGCAGACTTGGGAATTAAGATCTGCATAGCGAAAAACGAGACGCACACCAGACACGCCAGAAGACTTGTTAATCAACATAGAACATCAGACGTTTTGTGTTCATACTGAGGGGAGGATCTGAGCACCTATGGACATGTCCGGAGTGCAATGATGATAACCCAACTAACTAACATCTTTATCATCTACTTGTAAACAAGTGGGACAGTACTCCTAACAATCATTGCACACCAGTACCGTACCTTCAGCAGGTCACCAAAAACTTTTTTTTTAAAAATGCATATTTAGCATATTAACACAACAATTCTCGACCAAGAGATAGAAGTCAGATACAGTAGACAAATGCTGTCACCTACCAGTTGGCGATAAAGAGATAGAAGTCAGATACAGTAGACAGATGCTGTCACCTACCAGCTGGCGATAAAGAGATAGAAGTCAGATACAGTAGGCAAGTGCTGTCACCTACCAGCTGGCGATAAAGAGATAGAAGTCAGATACAGTAGGCAAATGCTGTCACCTACCAGCTGGCGATAAAGAGATAGAAGTCAGATACAGTAGGCAAATGCTGTCACCTACCAGCTGGCGATAAAGAGATAGAAGTCAGATACAGTAGGCAAATGCTGTCACCTACCAGCTGGTGATAAAGAGATAGAAGTCAGATACAGTAGGCAAATGCTGTCACCTACCAGCTGGCGATAAAGAGATAGAAGTCAGATACAGTAGGCAAATGCTGTCACCTACCAGCTGGCGATAAAGAGATAGAAGTCAGATACAGTAGACAAATGCTGTCACCTACCAGCTGGCGATAAAGAGATAGAAGTCAGATACAGTAGACAAATGCTGTCACCTACCAGCTGGCGATAAAGAGATAGAAGTCAGATACAGTAGGCAAATGCTGTCACCTACCAGCTGGCGATAAAGAGATAGAAGTCAGATACAGTAGGCAAATGCTGTCACCTACCAGATGGCGATAAAGAGAAGTCAGATACAGTAGACAAATGCTGTCGCCTACCAGCTGGCCTAAATTCACTCTTCTCAGCTGGCTTATAAATTTAAATGTCTTCCTTTCAGCAAAACAGCAAATGATAATAGCATCTTTATTGCTACTTTATGCTGTCAGTGCCAAACATGGACAATGAATAGGGCACTGGAGCAGGGGAAAAAAACTACCTGCGAAATGTGCTGTCCTTGTAAGGTCACCATTAATACAAGAAAGGATAAAGTTAAAAATACCAGCATTAAAGAGAAAGTTGGAATAAAACTCTTCAAATAAACTGACAGGAAAAGATTGAAATGGTTGACCATCTAGTGAAAATGCAGCCAGGCCAAACTGCAAATGAGACTTTTTTTTTTTTTTTTTTTTTTTTTTTTTGTACAGTAAAACATCTGAGAGGAAGGTGAGAGAGACACCAAGAAAGAGATGGATGTAGCTGAAACCTGCAAAACAGAATGAACAAATCCATCACCCAAGTCGTGCAAAACAGATACAGAAAACCATGGCGCTAGTGCTAAACATGGTTTCAGTGAGATGACACAAGAAGAACACAAAAATGTATCAAATAATAAAATAGTAACAGATTCACTATTACGGTGAGCGTTTCAATATACAGTTGAAGTGGTGTGGCCTGAGTGGTTTAGGCACAGGTTACTGTAGCCCAAGTTTAACTACCGGCAGGCCTAAGTTTTAGGCCACCAATACCTAACCATATATGTGGGAGCTGAACTGTTTGGTAGGTATAGCCTAACTGAGAATTGTTGAACTACAAATCTTAAGGTTGACTTGTATGCCTCAATTTATGATAGCTCACTATGTACTATAAAATAGTGAATTGAATTTAGTGCTTGCAGAATTAATTTGTAGTACTAAAAAAAATGTAGCATTTCATTTTCAGAAGAAAAAACAGCAGAATCGGTATATTCTACTATTTTCAACAGAAATATGACATGTATAATGCTTCTCCATAGTAGTGTATTAAAACATTTTTTAAAACTCATCTGACTTTATATTTCATTTTATGTGAGAGAGAGAGAGAGGACAATGGAATAACCTATCATCATATTCTGTGAATATGAGAGCACGGTCATGGTTCAACTTCTCATGCGATAACCAGAAATTATGATCAGATTTTTGTCTCTTCTGTCATCCTCTTGCTTCAGAAAGTGGCTTGTTGCCACAGGAACTGGTGGGGCCTTATGCAAATAAATGCATGTGCAAAACGTGATTTGTTTTAACTGCATCCTCCGTCAGTGATGAACAATTGTAGTGGCAGGCTGTTTTTGTATGGCATGTCTGACGGCTGCCTTATGCATTTAATGCACTTGCAGAGACAGTATAGTCTGTTTGAAATGTTCTTTTCTTCCCACAAGGGACAGCAATGGACTTGCTGTAGTTTTTGCTGCTATAGATATGGAGTTGGAACTGTAATCAACTGATATATCCCCTTGCTTTGTGCCTCATATTTGTCAGTTGTGTGACATATTATAACAAAAATTTAACATTTTAAAAAGCATGTCTTTAATATGGTAATATGTGTAATAGTGTGGTAGAGACAATCTGGAGGAAAGCAAGCACATATTCATACAGGCAAGAGTTCACTTTTGTCATAGTTGAGTCAAGAATTGACATCACAGCACTCTGGGCATTCCCATGCATGCTCCATCCCTATCTTCAGCAGCCAGCGGAAAGTTCCAATACTGATGTCACCGGTCACAGCTTGGTTACTTGTGTCATAAATCATGTCAAAATAAATTTATATTCTTCTGTTGTCGTTCTGTCCTTTGCTATCACATGCAGTTCTCCCCATGTCCTCCCCATCTTTCTAACTTCATTCTCCAGCTCCCTTCTCCATGTGTTTTTCCCTTTTTTCCTATGCTCTTGTAGGTTCCAGTGCAAAGATATTCTAGTTATATTGTTCTCCGGTTTTCTCAATGTGTGCCCTATCCAACATTAACGTCTTTTCTTCACCTCTTGGCCCATTGGAGCTTGGTTAATTCTCTCACGAAGCTCTACATTAGTGATTCCATCATACCATTTTATTCCCTCTCTGCACGCATGTACGCACGCACACACAAATAGGCAGAAAAAACCTGCATAAATCTGACGAAACAAGGTAATGAGACTCTTAGTGTTGACAATGTGCGACAAGTTAAGACTTAAACTGGTAGGTAGGTAGTTGTACCCCACCAGAACATCACAAAAACACCCTGTGACACAAAGTGCCACCATGCGGATGAGGATCACCCGTGGAGAGGTCCCACAAACCCCTTCCGATTGCTTATAAGACCCCCCAAAAAAATTGAAAGTTCGACCACTTTCAGACCGCTGTTAGCTAGCCGAAGCTGCTAGCAGTCTCCGTCTATATTTGTGGTCTGCTTTTTTGCGTCACTTTTGTGGAAAGTTCTAGTATTTGCGCCGTCTCTGGGCTCACAAACCCCTTTCAGCCGTTTGGCCATATTTATGGCCCGACTATATTCAGGGCCCCCGGGTTAGGCTTCAAAAAAAAAAAAAAAAAAATT